ATGCTGCCACCCCAGAAGGTCCCTTTCAGTGCTGTGCCCACCCATGACCACCCCCAACTCAAAAAAAGAACAGCAAAAAACCCAGCCTGAGGGATGTCTTTTTTTCCCCCCTCCCTCCAGATTATCACTTTTTCTGCCTGGTTTTCATGCCCTGATACAGAGCTATAAATGTTATTTATGTTGCCAATTGCAGGGAAGGGTGTGTTTAAAAAAAGCATAATCCAATTAGAATTTCAGTTTGTGGTCTTTACTAATTAATAGTACTCCTTTAACTAAGAACATTACCATTTCATTATTATACTTAAGTCTCTTCTCTTAAAATCAAGAGGTAAAAATTACACAGAGAAATGGTATGAACAGGCATCAGAGAAAAAGCCCCATATTACAGCACATTCTACCAGCTACTGAAAATTACAGCTCCATCTCCTGCTCACAGCCAGACCTGTATATATTTGGACACTCACTATCATTACAAATGCAGTGACTTTAGGTTTGTGCCAGGTAAGAAAGATGAGAATCCAGCTCACAGTCTGCATTTCTAACTCTTCACAGAACAAGAGAGTCCAAACATATTTTAGTTCTTTATAGCTGCTCTTCATAGACAACTAAAGATCTTTATCACAATAAAAACAGAAGGCACTGCCACAGAGTGTAATTACATGCTGCTGGAGTTGACTGCTGTCCTCCAGAAATAGGAAATGGGTTGAAAAATGCTGTCTCTGCTTGGGCCATATTCTGAGTTCCTTAAATGAAATGTTATCCCTAATCCCTGGGAAGAAAAATGGGAACTTTGGAATGCTGGCAACTCCTGAGAGTGGGCTTCTAGATTGGGCTTGGTGGTCACCAGCTTCCTGCACCAGTGATCAATCGTCCATGAGTCGCCACAGTGGAAGATCAGGTTTAGGCCCTGCCCTCTGTTCACACCATCCAAAAGTTCATGTCCCAGAGATGGGGGAGAAGTTAGTTAGGATGTTTTCTTACTCCTCTTTAGTTGCTTAAGAACCCAGTATTTCAAGGCATCATACCCTATGGAGCCCTTCCTTTCGGGCAGCAGACCATCATTGCATGGCAGGATTGGTCAAAGGCTGGACTTGATCCCACAGGTCTTTGCCAACCTTAATGATTGTAACCCCCCCCAACAACACCGAGCCCTGCACTAAGAGGGGACATTCACTGCTGCACAGCCCCCAGCACAGGAATGGGATCCACAGCTGCATCCGTGCTGGCAGCCAGCTGGGAATCGCTGGGAACGTCTAGTCTGCTGCCCAGTCTGAAGGTACATAAACTGTCAGTCAGCCATCAGGACAAGCAGGTTTCAAACATCCACTTGGTCCCACAATGCTGATTCCCTGAACAGGCCTAAATTAGGACCGTTGCACATACTCTAAGATCCCCGGCACTGGACTGTTTTCTCTTACTCTATAGCTGAAAGAAAAAGGCAGGTTCTTGCTTCTTCTGAAAGAGATTTTCAAAAAGGGGGAAAAAACTCCAAGGTGCCTAAAGGAATGTAATTATTATGGTAAATAATTATCGATAAATTAGAAGCACAAACGACTCAAAATAGCTCCATAAAGATGAGTAAATATGATCTGAAGAGGTGCCTATGAATCACACACCATGTCTCTATTACCATAAAATAATAACGGTTCACACACTTTACTGAAAAACTTTGCACTGAAGATGCCACAGATCTTTACAAACATTAATTTCACCTCCCAGCCCCCCAGATGGGAAGCCCCATCTCCATCTGGAAAAGCTCAGGGAGCAGCAACGTGCCATTCACCTCCTGAGACACCAGGTGCTGCAGCAGAGCTGGGAGCAGACGCAGACCCCGGCCTCCCATTTTGTGCACTAACCACAACATCATCAAATGTCACCCAGTTATTTCATCTCCTCACTAAACCATGGCTGATTATTACTTCTGTTTCTTTTCCCAGTGAGTAATTTCCTTTGTCAGGGCACTGCAGGATAACCACAGCCCTAAATGCCTTTGGAAAAGGTGCACAGGAGTGAGGCAGCACAGTGGGGCCACAGCACACAGATGGGCCTTCCCTGTCCTGAGTTAAATGTCCTGCCTGTTACACCTTATCCTCTGTGCAGTGGGATTTGAGGTGAATGGACACATTTCTTCCTTAAACCCAGCATGTCCCAGGCTTCAAGCAGCTGTTCTCTAGCGCAGAGCTGTGCCTGCTGCTGGCACATCACACGAACAACATGTTACAGAAACTGTAACTCAGTTTTAAAGGGAAATATTATTTGCTGCTTCAAAAATCATTCAGACTATCAAAGGCACGTTCTTTCAAAAGCAAGTCAACATAACTAAGCTCACCCTTCCACAACTTGGGTTATTCACGTAGTCACTCCCTGTCCCTGTTCCAGGGATCTTTGGCTTCAGTCAGAGTTCTCTCCCTCTGCTTTTCTCAGTACTTGTCTCTCTCCTAATCCTGCTCTCTCACCATTTCTAGTTTCTTCCCCTCCTTTCTTTACAGTCATTTCCATTTTCTTTGAAATGTTTTGGCATTTAATGCTGGCTTTATTCTTCCTTCTCCATCTGCTGCTCTTGTCTTTCTAAATCTCTTCTGGAGCCTTCTCTTGGGTGAAAGCAAGAACCATGTTTTCCCTTTATTGCCTCTTCTTTCTGGATTTCAGTTCCCTTCTTTTTCTTTATCTTGGAATCACACAATCGCCCTCTCCCTGGAAGCCCCACAGGAGCTGGTACTGTGCTGTGTTGGGTCTCCTGCTCCCTTTGAACACGAGGATCTCAGGGAAGGCACTGTGAAGTATGTGCCATTTCTCCTATAAACTACAAAAGACTGCAGAAAGCAAAATTACTGGTAGGTTTTACTCCCCTGCCTTGTGCTTGTGGAATCTTCTGGCCATGGAGACTTGCTCCACCAGCTACAATTCACTTTTCAAGGGAGTTTCCCCCTCCCTATGGGTTTTTCTTCTCTGTAAAATCTTCAATTTAATTATCAGGGCTTACAGGGAACAAAGGAGAAATAACCAAGCTTAACTACTAACACTGCTTTTAGACAAATCTCCCCTACATTGTCTTGCCCACAGATTTTAATTTGGGACTCAAAGGCTCAACTCTAAGACATCTTTTCCCAGCCTGTTCACTTGGCCTCTGTTCCCAGGAAAGGAAATAGCTGCAACATGGAAGATGACAAGGACATTTGCCAATTAGAAGCACAACAACAAATTCCTCTTTGATAACACCAGCCCTATCTGCACGTGTACCTCCCAACTAAAATGTAAGACATAACATGAACTGATCACAGACCAAGCAAAGAAAATATGAAGAGAATGGTGAAAGGATTTCTTCTATTTTTTTTTATTTCCAAACTTCAACCTAAAGCTTGACTTTCTGTGAAAGTTTTCCTCTCATTTGTTATTAACTGATGTGTTTGTTTGTCATTGTCTTGGCACTGGAAATGATGCCTTCTAGAAGCTTCTGCTTTCAGAAAGGCCAAAGAAAAGTTAAAAAACCCCTTGCAGCCAGCAAGAGGGATTTTGCAAAGAGGGATAAGTTTTAAGTCACAAAAATTACAAATCCTTTACAGTTGCAGTTATGTTGCCAGTACACAGAAATAAAATAGAATAAATGAAGCATTTATCAAGGATTCCAAAATAAAGTGAACAAGAACATTAGCAAATGCCAAAGCTTATAAAAGCCTCAAAGCACCAAGATCCTCCCTTCCATCACAAGCTCAAAAGAAAGTCAGTTGTTTCTTAGTTTTATTATAAAATAACCTTTCCTCTGGTCACAGAAATTTTGCTTTATTCAATGCCTAGATATACTGACTGAGGAATGAACAGCAGCCATCAAAACAGTGGAGTGGAGAATCCCACACCTGTTTCTCAAGGTTCTCCACTGTTGTTTCTAAACAAATAAAATTTTTAAACACAGAGCATGTTCCCATGGATTTATTACAGGCTAAACGGGAAATATGTCTTTAACAAGATACAAGTTATCTGAAATGTGCTGAGCTAAAACCCAAAAAGAAACCAAGAAGGAACATGATGTGCTCATCCTGCCCCACTCTCCTCTGGCAGTTGCATGTTTATGGTCTCCTACTTCCCATCTGAAAACAGCAAATTCTCGTGGCTACATGTGGTTTAGATGCAAAGCCGGGAGAAGTGCACCAGCACAGAAAGCGAGAACTGAGCGAATTATTTCCCCTGATAATTATTTGAAAGGTATCTGCAATGAAAACAACAACAGATTTTCACTTTGAAGCCTGATTTAAGCTGACCGACCCTTTCAGCATTTCTAAAGAAATAATGGATTATAAAACTAATTCAGTGAAAAATGAACGCAAAAATAGAAGCGATGAGACATCTTCTAAATAAGCAAAGCTGCTTTTACAGCATGCTGAATAACTGGAGTGTGGTAAACATACCACTGTTATAAATAACATCCAGCCTTTTGACATTATTCTTTAGTCAGTTATTTCAAATTCTTTATAAGCATTAACAAAGCAAACCTCACCGTTGTCCTGCAAAGTGAAAATAATTACTCTGATATATAGGAGGAAAAATTAAGATATAAGGACAGAAAACAATCCTTCAAAGTTACAGTGGCACGTTGTACAGAGAATTCAGGAAGTCTCATAGTGTAAGGGAAAAACCATCCTCTCATTCGGAAGAAACTGTTCACTAAATGACTGGTTTGTAGCATTTACACACCATTTAATTTTACACAAAATGCATCCACATTTTTAGATTTCACCATAACCAGTAAATGACCAATGATCAAAGTTTTATACTGACAAGTAAGGCCCAAACAAATCCTTTTTAAATGGAAACTCTAATGATTTCTCCCTGGTGAGGCACTTTCTTGTTCTGCTTCAAGACCTAATCATAAACCCATTAAAAAATAACATTTTTTGTTAAAAATGCTAGAAACTGTCAATGGATCATAGACAGCACTTTGTCAGATTACAGATCAATAAACACCAGACCACAACAATAATTAGTAAGTAATTGTATCTCATTACCTTTGGGGTCTTCTTGGGCCAGCTGACCACAGGGACACCCGAAATGGCAAGATTTTGGTCATCATCAGCATGTTCCTTCAGTATATTCTGTTGCAAATGAAAAGGCCTTTATTAACCAGAGAAACAACTGGAGAGTGCAGAGACCTACAGAGGACAACACTCCGCTCTGATGACAGACTGAGAAGATCTCTGCAAGTTACTTTTGCTTCCAGACTTCCAACTCACACTGAAACTCTCGCACCTGTCGTTAACATCCAAGATGTGAAACTTCTAGCAAAACAGGCAGCAAATCATCCATCAACACCTCAGATGTTACAGACTTCTTTAACACTGGTGTGTCCAAGACCAGTGTCTTACTACTATCACCTCTCTCTTTAAACTCTAGCTCACTAAATCCCAGCCAAGCCCATGACTGACACCTTCTCTCCTGACCAAGGCTATAAAAGGCCCGAGAATCCCCAAAGCTCTGCCACTGTTATTTCAGCAGTCACAGGGCATCAGGTGTGTAGTTTAGAGCAATCCTCAGATGCCTGAACATTCAGGTAAGCCAAGATATACAAGTGTGTCTGTAACCTTTCATCTTTTTGCACGTGACAATCCAAGAGCACTCTCATTCCCACAGCCCTTCCTTCCCCACTGACGGGCAGGCCAGAGCTGCTGGAATCCTGTTCCCTTTATGTGATCAGGTGAGGCATTCAGGTTCCTGAGTGTTCACTAGGAAAGGATCTGACTCCAGACAGTGCAGTATTAAGGGAAAAAAGATTGGTCTGCCCTCCCTTCCACCCCCACCAAACCCTTTTGCTTTGCTGCACTGTTCTAGAAATCTCGTGAGTGGGCTGCACTGGCTGACACAGCTCCCACTGTGAATCACTCCCATGACCAGTAACTCAACACAGAGGTGGTAAAACACTCTGTTTAAGTGTACTCAGTTGTGCAGCTGGGAACAGTCCATGCTCACTTCCCATGACTCCCTATGTGCTCACTAACTTAACTGCAAAGCTCTTCATCTGGTGGCTGAAAAAAGAAGAAAAGAAAACAAAAAACGAGTCGGAAGGAGGATTCTGCTGTGCTGCTGAAAACTGGAGCCCAAATCAGCACTAACAGGTTAAAGGCAAAAGAAAAAAATGCTCAGTAGAACAAACAAGAATTGCAGGTTGGAAATTGCCTCAACAGAATATTTAGGAGATAAGCCCAATGAAGTTCAATGGTGCTGCTCCCAAGTATATGAAAAAAGCTTAATTAGCCAACAACAGGCACCAGGCTCTGTCAGTCCCCAGTGCAGAGCTCTAGTAATTAGAAATTTCACACACTATACAAAAAGAGCTTAAAATACAGTAATTGTTTTAATAGGAAGTGCACTTGAATTCATCTGTAATCATCCAACTAAAGCCCAGGGTACGATAGCATGTTCCAGTCCCCAAGAGCCTGCGTTTGGATGAGTGTCCCTGGGGCTGGCTTTCTCCCTGGAGCTCAGACAACCTGTCACACTCAGCCCAATTCCCCAGCCTGTGCTTAAACGAGAGCTGTGTTACTAACGAACAGCACAGCACCAGCACAGCACTGCTCCCTCAGACACATCACAGCAGCGAGGCTGCTCTGGACACTGGTTAGGCCGAAAGCAGCACCAGTGACCAAAATAAGCAATACCAGTACAAGCCCAGGTTATCAGCCTGGTGCTGGGGCTGCACTCAGGGGTTTGCAAAGGTCAGGAGTAAAACCCAGCTTGCCCCACCCTGATTGTGATGCAGAGTCTGTGTTGTACCTGCAGCCCTGTGCTCCTCCAGTGCCACACCCACCAACTCTTACCTGTGGACTAATCATTGGCATATTAACTCTTGGGGGTTAAGTGAGCACCTCTTTGCTCATGTCCATTTTATTTTGAGAGGGATCGCTGCATTAACTGAACTGTGACCACATTCTGAAAGTTAGTTTTCCATCCTAAAAACAGAGAGGATTTTGTAATCTTGTTGCAAAACCAAAAAATCTCCAGAACAAGGCAGCGCTTGAAAGCCATATAAACAAAGGACAAATTAATTCCCTTTTGATTTTGCTACTCTTAGATTTGAAAGCCTGTAAGACAGAAAACCTTAACGTTTCCACTAACGACTGTCAGAGACTCGGAGTTCAATAGAAAGCAGAGTATATTCCAAGAACTTGGCAAGGTAATGAAGGTTTCTTGTTATCATATGTATCACGTGAAAATATTATCCAAGGAGAAATGTAAAACTATGGCAGCTTATCATCTCAGGCAGCTGAAAACAACGGCTGTCTGCGCAGCAGAGCCACAGTTGCACTGACTGGAGCGTCAAGTGTCAGAGCACAACAGGCTGGAGGAGGCAGATTTTTGTTCACCTGCTTAAAAACAAGGGGAAAAAAAGAAGATAAAGAAAAGCCATGGGGCTCCAGTTAGAGAAACAACATGATGCTCCTCCAGCACACGGCGGCCCCATTCATTACACTTGAGGGCTGTGGTGACAACAGCAGGTATGGAGGAAAGAAGCTGATTAACTATGTAAGAATTCAGCTTAGCCATTAATTTCAAAAGCACAGCAAGGAACAACTCCCCTGAAATGCATTCAGTAGAGGGAGTTTTTTTTCCTGTCATCAGGATGAGAAAGGGGGTAAGATTTCTTGGCAAGAAAAAGTAAGAACATATTTCAGTAGATATCATCTGTCTTGCACAAGAATCTTCTCCTGCTGCCAAGGAGTTGCGGATATTTGACAAACTCTGTTCTTCAAACTGAGTTTCTTCTGCCCTAGTGGACTTGCACAGGCCCTTCTGGAGAAGGGCAGCGTTTTTGCTTTGAAGTGGGGAAGGTCTGTGGCATTATGAGGAGGCAGATCTCACAATCCTGTGCTCCAACAGCACAAAGGAATTCCCATCCTGCTGGCAACACACAGAAACGTGTGTGGAAATCAGAGGCTGCACATGGGCAAGGATCTCTGGCAGTGTGTTTAGTGTGGGCTGCACACTGCCACGATCAAAGGTCTGCTCAGCCCTACCTGCCCTGTGATGTGGGGTGCAAACTACACCAAGGAGTACGATGGTTACCTCTCCATTCTCTTCTCCATGCATGAGCCCACCCCAGCTGCATCTTTGATACACTGAAATACTGGCTGGTAGCTAAATATGAAGTGGAGAAGCCACATGATGAAACTCCTCCAATCCCCCAGGCCACCATCTAAGTACAATTACCTCTCAGTGACTTTTTTTCCTGCCTCTCTTTCTCATCCTACTCAAAAGTATCTCAGTAGGTACTTTTCTAACAGGTCAGCTGAGATTTAATTTTTAATTTGAGAGCTGGAGTTGTTGCACTACTTATACTTCATTTCAGGGCATGTATATTTGGCAAACAAGGTGTGACTGAGGCTGCACATGCCTCCAACAGTATCAGCACCAGCAAGGATGTGAGGACAACGGCAGCAGTGACTTCTGGTTGCTACCCCTGCCCACAACTGCAGTGCCAAGCCCTCTGTCCTTCTGCAGCTGGGCCAGCTGAGCACTCCCAGGGGGGGAATCTTCATCTGTCCAACCCTTTCCCCTCACATTCCTGCTCACACAGTGACTCCACAGACACTTGGATAGTTTGTTGCACCTCCTCAGCAGATGGCTCGGATGCATCTGCCATGGAGTAAAGGCTGCTTTGGGAATCTCTGTGGAGGCCTCTGAGAAGCTCCTGTGGTGCTTAATGCAGGACTCAGGTGATGCAGTGCCAGCAGGGATTTAACTCCTTGTTTGAGCTCAGGGAAGGACTGATCTGCTCCCCAAGTCAGGCTGTTACACTCTGCCCAGAAGCCTCCCTGGTGCTGCTGCACTCCATCGATCACGGTGATAAATGGGTTCTCAATCTGCAGAGGCAGCAGTTGGCACTTCTGGATTGCTGTGTCCCCACCAGACAGCTGCAGTTAGTTTGGAGCTCAGATGATGTGCAAGGAATTTACACAGGCTTAGTTTAGTTTTCAGTCTCCCTTCTCATAGGGAAAATAAATTACTTTACTGCAAAAAGTCTCACCTACTTGACATTAAATAGCTGTAGTTGTATTTACCACTAAGAGCAGTAATCCAGTCACCCATCCTCTACTATATTCTGGCTCAGCTGGCAAAGCATGGATTCTTTGTGAGCTACCCCGATTAGTTCTGTGAAACTTCACATCACTGAATAAAATGGTTTCCTTTCTCCAGTTTAACTACCCATATCCTGTTTTCTGAAAACATTAATTATCTTCCTGAAGCACAAAGACAGACTTGAATGTCATACAGAAAAGTTCCAGAGTGTATTTCATTAAGAAATAAAAGTGCTACAATAAACACAGATTTATTTTCTTCAGGAAGAAACTTGTTTAAGACTTTCCAAGCAGACCAAGAGCTTTCAGACTTTGTCAGAGCATGTTCTTGCTATGCATTTGTTAAAAATAACTCTCAAATGGGTGCACTAAAAGGGTACTTTTAATAGGACGCATTATTAATACATCGCATGCCCGAAAGTTGGGTTGCCCATGAAATAAACCTTGTGAGTAAAGCCAAATACAGTCCCAGCATGGATCATCTGCACAGCCTCTGCAGGATTCCTACCTCCATTCAGTCCCACAGATGACTGATGCTCTGGATATTCATCAGGGTGAGGTAAAGGGGCCAGGCTTTTGCTCACTCCACTGTTGATGCTATCAGCAAAACCCCCTTGTTATTATCTGTACAGCTTGGAAAACTAGTAGCAAAGTAAGAGGGAACATGATTCAGTGGTCAAGGAGATAAATACCATTCTGGAAAAATGGACTGTATTTCTTCCTCTGCCATTATGTCTCTATGTGGCACAGGGCAAAATCTTTTAAATCAGGTTTCCACGGGCAGTCATGAATTGTGTGTTCCTGCACTTCCTCACTCCTGGCTTGGGATCTGGATGCTAAAGATCAGAACTTCTCTGCAGAAACGTTAAGCAATTACAGTTTCACTATAATTACACTCATCTTTTGCAGGTATCATTGTTAAATAACACTCACTTTTCTGAAAATCCCATCCATGGCACGAAAAGCCAGTAGCCAAAATTATGGTCACTTTTATCCTAATCTCTCTGCACCCCAGTTCCCTCCCTGTGATAACAGCTCATCCATTACCACGTGTGAAGCACAGGATGAGGATCCCTGGGAACCCCAAGGGAACATTCCCTGTGTTCAGCTCAGGGGCTGAACAGAGGGATGTACCTGACACACACAGAAGAGCAAGGATGGAATGAAATACTGACTAGTTGCATCCTTACACCAAGGAACACGGGAATCCTGCAAGGACCATTATGCTGGATGTATGCTCAGGGGCTCAAATCTGTCACTTGGCAGCTCCTCCATCCTTTGAAGGTGGAAGCTCTAAACATACACTGACACACATGGGTCTGGTTATTTTTTTTGAAAGCAAATAAACTCAATAAAACAAATTTCCTGCTCCAAGGAGATTGGATGCTTTGGCTCCACTACGCTGATCTCTACCATGTCAGTGAACACAGTGGTGGAAAGGAGTGACTTGCTGTCCCAGAAGTAGATGGGAATGGGACACACCTTGTCAGTGGCTGCCTCAGACAATTTGCTGAGGAGCAAAGAGAAGACCTGTGCTGGAATGCTGGACTCCCCTTCGGACCTGAGAGGAAATTGTATTCAAGCAATCCCTGACCTGAGTACAACTGCTCCAATTCCTTCAGAGCACCTGGGAAGTGGATTGTGCACCCGTAGGGAGTAATGGAGGAAGCAGAATATATGGGCTTTAATGAATTTACTATGCTGTACTGACTCTCACCCTGAAAACTGAGGGCTGACTTAAATGTGGGCCAATATTGTAAAAGAGATGGCTAAGAAAATTCTTTAACTGTTCTTTAGACACTGTTCAAGAAGATGTTTGAGTTAATTAGGTTTTAAAAAGGTCTTGCTCTGACTAATCTGTCACAGACTCGCCAAACATACAGAGGTGATTCCAGGGAAAATTTTGCAGCATCCACGGTGTTTAGATGTGGTCATGGGTTCTTTAACCAGCAGGGAACCATCAATATCCAGATGTTGGGATACATCCTGATGGTTACAGTGTGTGCTGGCAAGGGGAGAAAGTTTAGAAGCAGGAAGTTATCAAAGGAGATGGAACATCAAGGTTGTAACTCTGCAAGATGCACACAATAAACTGGCAGGTGCCCACTTCATACCAGTTAAAGCACAGTATCACCTAAAAGGTGATGTGGGCCTTTTTTTTAAATGTCCATTTGCAGTTCTCTCTTTCTGTAGTCAGTGAATCCACTGCTCTGGAGAGGAGTAAGAAAACAGATACTCCCACACGGAGCTTTAAACCAGATTCCCATATGGTACCTTGCCGTGCTCTAGGAAGATGTCTCAGCACACTGGAGTATGTCATCAAAAGAGGGAGCATGAGCACACTGAACATCTGCAGCAGTTATTATGTGTTGTATCCCTCCTTGGATTTCACTTATTTTTAAATGAAAATTGGTCTGTGCATTAAGCTTGGAGAAGCAGCACTACCATTCTGCTTCACCACAAACTCAACTCCTGGTCTTGAAGCTTCATTTTGATTTCCTGTTAGAAGGTGACTGATCCCAAAGCAAGCCAGTGAATCCACAGCCACAACTTTGGGCACGTGTCCACTTTCATGTACAAAGTGGCTGATTTGACAAGAAGATAATTTCTGAGCTCTTGTGGCTTCCCAAAACAAGTGCCGTGTATCACACTTCCAAGCTCCAAGATCATGGAATATGGTTTCACTGCACATGTTCAGCCTTCTCTAACTGGCTTTGAGCCCTTCTAAGCAGCTGTTACACTACTTGCACTAAAAAAGTACAGGTTCCCCATTTACCACATAAACGTGTATTCTCCCCCTCAGATTGTGTCTTACAGACCATTTTTGTACAGAAAATATGTAGCTGAAGACCCCTACTGTACACAGACTAAAAATATAAAGAGAAGTTGTGGCACTAGTGAGCACTCCCTCCTTACACCATCTCCAAAAGCTGTATATTGTACCAGTGGAGAATAATTATCAACCTATAGAGGGCAATGGAGGAAAGGAAAATGAAAAAGGTGAAAGTAAAAAAAAGCAACAGGGAGCGTTAGACAATCTATCTTCTGAACTGCAATCCAGTATTTACATTTTGCATGTGTCAGCTAACGAGGTGTAAGCCAGGAAGACGGTAGACCAAAAGGGGCAGATTATGACTATAATGATAAACAGACTTTTTGAAGTATAGTATTTACATATGGGACGTAACAAGTGCTGCACTATGAGAGGATTTAAACTTCTGACCACTGCTCTGACAGTCAGAAGGGCCTGTCACTTCAATCAAGATGCAAACAGCCACCTCCCGGAGCAGAGATGGCTTTGGGTAGAGGGATAATCTCCCTCTCCGTGGCACAGCAGCCTGACAGGAGCTGGTCACCACACACCAGCTGCCACCCCTCTGAGGCAGAACTTTGCTTTCTGCTCTCCTGCTGACTCCTGTGCCCGCAGAATACAGTTTGTGTGGCTCAGCAAGCCATGACACCCACCTTCATGTCCTCTAGGAGAGCCTGCGGGTCTTCGATGCCTTCTGGAACACACTTCTTGTTCTCTGGGAGAGATTCAAGCTTTTCCACCAGGGCTTTTAAACCCTTCAGTTCAAATTCTGTGAGGTGAGTCCATTTGGTTGAAACTTCTGTAGCTGGAGACCCCGTGGGTGTTTTGGGATAGTCCGTGGGGGTCGTTGATTTTACGCTGTCATCTGACTCGTTGGACAAAGTTCTTTTTAGGTACCTCATTACTGTGGCTTTTTGTTTCCTTCCTGCAGCCTCCTTCCCTTCTGAGTGTGTGCTGTTGGGTGAGGAGGAGCCATCCACCAAGGATTTGGAGTTCTTATCCAAGCTGTCATCCTTCTCCTCCTGGAGATGGGCATCACAAGATTCTTCATCCATGTCTAACCACGAATCTGATGAATAGCTGTCTGTGCTGCGTTTTCTTTTTGCATCTGAAAGTTAGAAAAAGAATGCTGAGTTTTTACCCACTGTAACTCGCAGCTGAAACACTTCTGTACCACTGGGGCCAGGTGCTGCCTATTTCAAAGGGCACTGGAGAATGGTCTAGTGAGTATGTGACAGGAATGGGTTTTATTCAGCTGATTTTTATTTTTTTTTCTTGGGGGGGTGTGTGTTTGTTTGTCTGTTTTAATGCTGGTTTTCATTAACATCTACTCAGTTCAAATGACTGGGAAACATTTAGGGAAAAATTATGCTTTCTTCAAAGCTTCAGTCCTCTATGCCTTCAATTAAGAGTAGGCAGAGCTCTTAAGTCACACACAATTAATTTTCCCACAAATCCGAAAGAGACCAGATTCGGCAGCTTTGCAGCTTTAAGAGGAGAGTGAGCACAGAAGGAGGAGGGGGAAATGATGGGAGAAAGCACGTTAAAATGCTGTACATCATCATTCTTCCAGGAACCCTGCACAGCACAAAATCAACTCCTCAATACTTTTCCTCTCTGCAAGCAACTAACTGTTGATAAAACAAGAACCCCCAGTTGTTAGTGCATGAATACTCATTGCTCTTCTGAGACAGGATTTCAATTGCGTTTATTTTACAGACAACAAGACAAAACACACTCAGACTGTCACAATTACATGCCACTGGTTTTCTTAATGCCATCTCTGATGCATTGTAGGTACTTCTCAGAAAAATTTAAAGGCAAGTTTCTGAGTCTAAAGTACTATTAATCTTAATTTCCCCGTAAGAATCCCAATTGTTACCCAACTCTGGGTAATCAAGCAGTGAAAGCAATGTAAGAAACCAGTGGCCACGGTTCCCTCAAGCACACATCTTTTCTTATTTATTAGGCACAATTTCCTCCACTAAGTGAACAACACTGAATGCAGGCTAGCAACAGCAGGAATTTCTGTGGAAAATACAGTTAACACTGGCAACACCCAGTTAAGTCAATGTGAATTTTATTACTGGCTGAAATGGGCACGAGATCGAGCTGCAAACAAAAACACTGCGAAGGAAACAGAAGTCACACAGAAAGAGTGAGCGAACAATTAATGAAAAGTTCCTTTCACAGCTTCCACGCTCTGCAGTGCAGTAGCTTTGGATTAGGGCAATGTGAATCATGCTTAAGGAAGGATTAACTGGACATTAACGAAAAAGCTCAGCATCCGGTTGTTTAACAGGGAGGTTCAAAACAAATGCTGGAGCCCAGTTCCAAGCTGGAAGTTCTCCGATCACAGAGAACTCCTTGTCTCGTGCAGAGTTTGTACCATCATGTTACAAAATATACGTATTATTTGTCAGCTGGGTACCAGCGATGCAACAGGCAGTGGCAGGGTGTCTGAGGGCAGTTTGCCCAGCCTGCCTGGCTGCTCAGCTCTGCAGTTGCAAATAAAGACCCTGCAAGGCCAGGTCAGCTCTGTGTGTTACTGCCCCAGAGATCCGAGTTGGCCACTTCGCATTCTCAGGGCTGCAAAAATCCAGCATCTCTGTCCAGTCCACTCCTTTGGTAACATTTGCATTTTCCTCAAAACCAAAACAGCCATAAAATGACTCCTGAAAGGCAAGTTTAAGCTGAAATGGCAGTCACAGAAAAGACCAGCTACCAGCAAGGCTGATTGCAGCCAAATCCAGCTCCATCCACAGGGCAGAGGAACCTGCTCCCTGGAACCCTCCAAAAAAGCCTCCTCATGAAGTACAGAACAGATTATTTTGTGTGCTGAGGTGGTGGCATCAACACTCCAAAGCAGCTCCTCCTCCCTGCTCTGTGCTAATACACCCCCATCCTTCTCTTAGAAAAATAAACAGGATTAGAAAATATCTTAACCAGAACATTTAAAACCCACTCTGTTATCCAACTTTTATTTCACACTGTTTTTTCCTTTGTCCACAGTAGCAAGCACACAGACCCACCTCAAAGGCTACATAATCAGCTTATGTCATTCTCCCATTTTACAACTGAGGAAACAGATGCTTGGGAGAAAGCACGATTTGCTCATTGTCACACATCAAATCTAGGGAAAAACCAGGAATCAGAATCCAGGCTCTCGGATCCAGGGCTGGAGCCCCTTCTCTAAGCCACACAGCCTTGGTGAGCTGTTTTACAACTGAGTGAAGCACAAAGCCCAGCCTAGATGGGAGAAAATGCCATGATCTGGCATCAAACAGGAGAGGGTGAAAGCAGATAACACATCCCTCTGCTACCAGGACAGTGTCATTAACAGAAATTGGTATAAATCTGCACAAAGAAAATCATGTTTCTGTCCTCCTGTGCTGTGGCTCTGCTGAACAGGAACTAATGGCTATAACTGGGGCAAATCACAAGCATAAATAAGGCCTAAAGAAAGCAAGGGAGATCACATTGTGGAGGTGTGAATAATTTACTCCAAGCAATGCTCTGGTGCTACCAGAAAACAGCTTTCAAGAGCGATCTCCACTTTTTATCTCTTGCTCTAATCTGTGGAAACAAAAGGCAGGAGAGGAGGGAACACCACGGTACTGGGGGCCTATTCCCATGAGAAGCGAGCCCACGGAGGGGGGCTTGCAATTCCGTTCTGCCAGCTGCCACCGCTTCCCTGCCACCGGCTGTCTGCGCGAGGCAGCCCTGCTGCGCAGCTACACCTGGGGATGGACACACAGACCACTCCAATCCATCCTCCAAACGAACCAGGGCCCTGCTCTCTGCAAGCCTGGCACCTACCTGATGCCTTGGCTGATATCACCTCTGGGGACAGGGTTGGCTGTTAACCTGGAGTGTACCAGGCTATTCTGGAGCACCAGGGGATTACAGTGCTGGTGCACCAGCAGATTAAGAGCAGGCTGCTTTCAAAGCACAACTGTCTGCTACTGCTGCTAATCTAAAAAAAAAAAAAAGCACCAAAGGAATCAATAATGGAAGGAGAACTTCAAGGTGAGGGAGATTCAATTTTGTGTTTTCAAGTGTTTTGTTGTAATGTAACATGCCACGATTTTTATTTATTCATTTCAATGAAAACACTGTCTGACAGAGTTACTGTGCTGTGAGCTGGGGCCCTGCATAAGCATAATCTGCATTTACTTAGTTGAGAAGTGTATTTTAAGCACTGTATTACCAGGGTTCCACTGACTTGGAGGTTTTTGGTTTATAAAGTCTCTCTGTGGAAAACAGCTCCTGTGAAGTTCAGCTGTGGTTTCTTCTTCTGAGTAAATGCACCAGCCAGTGCCAGTTCAGAACCCCACTTTCCAAGGGGTTATCCAGCCTGGGCTCCCACATAACTTAGTGCAAAAAGACCTTCACCTCCTTCATCTCAAAGCAAATAAAACCCGCTCATACAAACCAGTCAGTGATCTGGCTCAGTGAATAGGAGGAGCAGCACAGGCTTGACCACAGGACAGAGAGTTAGAAATACCTTTTTTTTTCTATAGCAGTTCACTTCCCTGTGGTTCTGGGCAAATCACTTAACTTTCCCCACAGTTATCCACTTGTACAAGAAGAATAATTATACACAGTTTCTTTCCTTCCTGGACAATAACTTGCTGTATTACAGAACTTAAAAGAAAGGGATGGGGGTGAGGTATAATTATGAAATCTTTCTAAACTCTTTAGAACAGTCCAGTGTGTAATATCTACCCTGCCATTCCCAGCTCCAATCCCTGACACTGTGACTTGGGAGCAGCAGTTGCTATCAGTCCACTAAAGACAGCAATGACATTTTCATTAGCAGAAAAATCCCTGAGCATGCTGGAAATGTATCACTGCATGGAGCACCCCACACAGGAATCACTCAATGTACTCTAGTACCTGTCTATCATAAGCAAATTTATTCTATCCCCTGAGAAGAGGAAGGGGGGGGGGGAAAAGACATGGCTCCTTCACTGTGCCAGAGGGCATATTTTTTATATCCATCAGGCTTAATATACAGTTAGAGGCACCCTGTTAAAATTTTAGCAATGGGAATCTTAAAAGCTGCAGGCTACAGAGAAATCATGTCTCTGATAGCCCAGGATCTTCTCCCAATTACTCTTTGTCAGCTCACTCTCAAGATCTGTATCTCACTGAAGGTCAATTGTGGTTGAAAACATCCAGCACAGACTCATTCATGATAAGAGTAAAAATAATGAAGACATATCCACCCCGAAACAGCGCATGTTCAAAACCCAAATAGGGTCCCTTCTGATTTCAGCTGGCAGGACAAATGTCACCGTTGAGAGGGACAAGGAAAAGAAAAAAGAGAAGGAGATGGTGTGCTTTTGCAGCAGCCTGTGATTGCTGTCATGTCGTCATTCCCCTGAGTGTTTGCCCTTCTGGGAGAGATCTGAAAAAGAACAGCCTCACACACTAACTAGGAGGACATGGCCTGAAAATTCATCCTGGGCCCGGAGAATGGGGAAGGAAGCCACAGCCATTGTCCTCCAGCTCATTTAGAGTTGGACTTACATTTCTATTTAGGGAGTGGGAAGACTCAGGGTTTCAGCCCTGCCTCCACAGAGGTGGGTTTTTTTCCTGTCTGAAGTTCTGTGAGTGGAGACATTTAGAAAACAGAAGTACAGAGAGCAATATAAATTGCTACAGTAGCATACAAATTTCGGGACAGAGGTATCAGAGCACAGTCACAGCAACACATTTTCATGAGTAGGCAACGAATTGAAAGAGTCACTCTGAATCCACCAACCTTCACGTCAAAGCAAATAAATAGTCTGTAATAAAAACACAGTAGGAAAGGTCTAAAGATATCCTTACAACACAGCTGCTGATGAACTCAGTTTTCTGTGTTCTCCAAAGATGTTCTTTATCAACATAGTGATTTTTTTATAAGCAGGAGAACAGAATCTCTACCAATTCTATGCAAACTAGTCCCCAGTGAATCCCAGTGACCACGGGCAGCACCCTGCAGTCTGTCTGGTCGATGCCCTCCTCAACTCACAATCGGCTGCTCAGCTTCTGAGATCCACCACAACCACGGCACCAGAAGCTACATGAGAAAAGAAAGCAGCACAACTCAAGGGCGAAAAATAGCCAGTTCTAGCACCCAAAAGGAAAGGTAGAAAGTGGACATTTAGAACAAATTATGTCAAGGAAATTATTTTTACGAAGTAGGAGAAACATGAGGATCATCAAGAGAAATTTCTGAAAATGAATACAAGGCTGTGAAGAATTTTTTTCTTAAAGCAAGAGGGACAGAAGACAATTAAATCTACAGAGGGGTTTGAAGGAAGTTAAGTACTTTGCTTCATTACTCTTTAAGGAGAATAATGGGAAATTCTTCGTCAAGGGATACTTCCTCAGGGGAAATCAAGAAATTGCTTGCAGATAGAGAAGTCCCTAAGGAAGAGACAATTTAAGGACCTTAACAGCTCTGAAGAAAAGTTTAAAAACAAAGAGGCAGGGTTTGGAACACTGACCTCATTTGGATATTCTATCCCTCAGCAGGTGAATATTAAGATACAGACACCACAGAACAAACCAGTTTAACTCAAGAATTACAGTTCATAGAGATTTATTTGAGTCAAGAGCCTGGACACAGACCAGTTAAAAGAAAAGCAGGTATTGGAAAAAGTATTACTCATGCAGAACAAAGCAGTGCAGCTTTGTGAAGGTAAATAATGTACCTTTACTCCTTTGAGTATGACAAATGCCAAAGTGAAAGATCCAGTAGATATATTAGATCTGGTCACAACCCTCAGTTAAGTGATGATTTTAAGGTTAAGATTCTGCCAAGAAATAGAAAAACCCCAAGTTTCTGACAAAACAAAAGTATACATCTGTCTGTCCTGGAGAGAAAGGCCCTGGATGTCAGTGTCAGAGATTTACCAGGACTCTTTGGTCATGCAAAACAATCCTGTTCCCTCTAGACACTGGATATCTGTAGTTCCAGGTGAGCTTTTATAGGATTGGAATATCTCTCAGCTACTGACTGGACTGAGGCACATGTCGTGGGGATCACCAAACCATCATCAGTAATTACAGAGCTGGGCTGAGCTCACACTGGTGATTCAGCTGGAAAAGGTCCCATCTCAATATCCTGAACCATCCAATCTCCACATCCAGTTTGTTCTGAAATTACACCTCGTTGATCTGGCACCCCCACCCTGCCTGCAGGACCAGCCTCTTTTCATGCCAATGCTTTAGACAACAGGAGATTGTTCCTTATTTTCCAATGAATGCAGTTATCAGAGTTTTTTTCACTGCTTTAGCTGATCCGTAGGGCTAATTCCCTCCTCTCCTCTAAGATGATCTTTTGAGAAAAACTTCTCCACACAGAGTTCCTGCTTAACTAACCCTTCTTGAGCAAGGTCTCACAGAGTTAAATGTGAAGCACCCAACTTCCCAGTGACCCCAAGAAATTTCCCTGGCCTATCTGCACAGACTATTAAGCTTCCTCGAGTTATTCTTGGTCAGTAAAACTCACTGGAGGATGACATCTGCCCTTAACTTCTTCAGTCCCTTCTACTAAGAATTGTGCTCGTAGGTAAACATTTCCCCCCTCTGCCCAGTGCCCGGGGCAGTGCCAACCATGCCAGGTTCACTCCAAGTGGCACCTCAGGGAGCAGGAGGCACAGAAATACTTCAGTCCTCCTCCACATTTAACACATATCAGTTAAGATTTAGCTGGTGCTTGTGCTATTTTCAGCTATTCTGTGCTTAAAAGCGGGGAGGCAACATGGCCCACGGCCTTGTTCCATCAAAGGGAGGAAAAAGAGGGCAGTTCAGCAAGGCAACAATTGGAATTGTCACACATTGATGCAAAGCTCACATCAGTGCCAAGGTAATGCCCTCCTGCTTCAGGCACATCTATCTGTCTCTGCTCTGGTCCATTTTCAGCTCTTGTTGTAAAGGTTTCTTCAACCTCCCTGCACTGGGGTTATAGATCATGGAGATTTGTGTAGGTGTTTTCTAGGGTTTGTTATTCTGCAGAACTAGAAGTCAGTCACCAGAGAGAATTACAGTAGAGTTCAAGGAAAAGAGAAAGAAGGCAGGTTTAGTGACCACAAAACATTCTGTAGAGGAGACACTCTATAAAAGGACTAAATATCCACCCCACTAGAGCACATTTGCAATACACACATTTCTGGCTACCGAGGTACTGTGCCAAACATGGCAGTAAATCCTCAACTGTTTGGCAGATCATCTCAACACAAACATTACTGAAACCAAGGAACAAACGCATCCAAAAAATATTTTTCTAGGATCCACTTGCTAAGGGAGCGCTCAATAAATCTAATTCAAAGTAAGTTGGTACTTCCTGGAAATGCTTAAAGAGTCAAAAATCTTCCTCACCCCAAAATAAAAGAAACAGTTCATTAGAAATACTACAGTTCTCCAGTTCAATTTATAATCTGCTTTGCAGAAGCCAAAGCAGCAAGTAGCCCGAGGTGCCAGCACCAGTGGTGAATGTGCACTCAAAGGATTCACTCACCAATTAACATTGATTCTTTCTGGTACTCTTTGCTGAGGTGGCAGCGCTGGGTCACACAGGACACGTATCTCTCCAGAACATACCAGCACATTTCATAGTAGAAAGGATACCGGAATTTGGCGTGCACCTGGAAGCAAGAGCAACACTGTCAGTCCATGGGGAAGGGAGAGAAGTTTGCAGCACAAGGGCCAGTCATCATTGCCATCGTGTTATCAAGAGCACAAACAGTGTGCAGGAGGGGGAGGGGAGAGGGTGGGAGCAGGGAGCTGAATGCCTCCAGCATACGGAATGAGGAGCGAGCCTGCCTGCCTGCCATGACAGCATCATTTCTTGGTTCACTAATTTGTATCCTCTTGGGGTGGTGGGAGAGGAGAAGGGTTTGTGTTCTTGTGAAATCAGGAAGCTGATGGATGGCCCCTACGGAATTATTTACCTGCTGTATAAACATAGGGTGGTCACATACAGATGTTAGTCACTAAAGCTCAAAGTACAGGCGTGGGTTTCCATCCCCTAAACGCTAGCACAGGATTCTTATCAAAATGGCAACATTACCTAAATGAGTCAAGCAGGAAATACCTCTTTTGCAATTGTGGTCATCACAACAATTTAATTATATAAATGAACACATAAATTCTCGATTATTGATAGCTGCACATTGAAGTAAAAATCCCTTATGTGGTTTACACTGAGTATTTTGATAACAAGTTAGCTTTTGCCACAAACAGAATAAGGACAGAAAAGCAGGATTTTGACAAAAGATCCTGTCAAGCTGCGCACTGTTTCTTAGACCTGTTGTACTCACACTAAAAGCTTAATTCTCCAACATTAGGTATTTGTGAGAGCATTTCAGATTCAAAAGAAAACAAAGTGGGTTTCCTTCCCTTCCAATATAGTTTTCTATCTGTGGGAGGTCACTGTACCAAAGAAGAATCTGGGAAGCTCCTAAAATGCAGGAAGATGTGTGTTTTTCTTGTGATTTGTTAAAAATGGATGCCATGTATCCTGCATGCACTTGTACTTTCTCCTGGTGGCACAGAAATCTGCATTTTGCAGGCTCACATGCATGCACTGCTCTGGGATTGTAGGAGCTGCTTTAAAACATTCTCTGCATATTAACTCTGCCCTAGCCCAGAGGTGTGCACCCACCTTTACTGAAAACCTGGACTGCACCAGAAAGGAGCATTACCTTAGAAAAAACAAAATAAAACCAAAACACCACCCCACCCCAGAATACCTGAAAGCCTGAAGTCTAAACAGAACCACAGAAGTTCAGATTCAGCCCTGTCCAAACATCTGTGTGGTGATCAAAGCATCCACTTGAGCAGATCAGTGACTTACTGGAATGCCCATATTTGAAAGCTGTCCCCAAGGTGGACAGCCAAAGAACTTGCCTCTGTTCACCAGGCACAGGAAATACAAACACTTTTAGCAGTAAAACAAAATGTAATAGAGGGAAAATATACTGTATTGTCCCACTAAATATACTGCAGTGTAGGATTTAAATACTCTACGGCAATTCCCAAAAGTTAAGATCTCTTAAATTCAACACAAACACAGCTGGCAAATCTGAACTGCGTGTTGCTATGGATCATGCATCCAGCAATGCTGCACCTTTCCAAATGTTTCCCTGTGCTGTTTGTTACAAAGCACACAAACCAAAAAAAAGAAGGGAAAAAAAGAAAAGGGAAAAAAAAAACCCAACCAACCAAACAACAACCCCCTAAATGTGAGAACATTTAACCCCAGGGCCTTTTTGCATCGGAGAAAATTCTTCCTTTGGTTTAGTTATTTGTCATAAAGAAGAGATCAAGTCACTTATCACTATTAGGGAACACAGGGGAAATTAGCCATGCTAAAATATATGCTAATAAAGGAACTCAAATTTTTCCAAGAGAGCACTGCAGGAAACAAAATTTGCAAAGAATTGACTTACAAACAGGAAGCCGCCTTCCACCCCTCAGCCTTCAAAAGGTTTTCAGCCACATGCCTGGGAATATTAAAGACATCATTGCTCAACATTTGTTGACAGATTCTGAGCTTCACCAAATTTAGTTGTTACCAATGTTAATTCAATGTGAAAGACAAGGCAGTAATGCATGCAGTGCTCCCATTATGTATATCAATCTTTAATATTCAATTTGAGTTCCTAATTGCCTCGCTATCAATGTTCCAACCCACAGCAAATCCCTCCATGCCTCTGGAATCCACGGTTTGCCCGAGAAGTCTCTGCTTTTACAAACCTTCAGAAGGAAGAGCTTCTGTAGAGAGAGATACTGGTGCAAAGATCTACAGAGCCTCCTGCCAGTAAAGCAACTCTTACAGTGCTTTAAAAACTTTTAAGGTTTGCCTTATGGAAAAGTACAGAGGAGTGTGCTCTCTATGATATCCTTGGACATTTATTAATTATAATGGATGTGAACTGCATTATGTGCATGTCCATACTCTTTCCATTGTACACTTACAGTCAAATGAACCCTTATGGGGAGGGGGGAGGAATAAAAGAAAGAAGGAAAGAAATTAAAAATGTTCTGTGATGAGTTTGAAGTGTAATATCTGATACAGACACTGCCAGAGGACTAAATTCCCCACCAGCAGGGAAATACACTGGATCATCTAATAGGCATTTCCAGCTCTAACTTCTGTGATTAATAATTTACAATCCACTGAAAAAAAAATTTAATTATTCCTGTACAGCAAGAAAAAATCCTCTCTGGAATATGATCCATTTCTTCAGTTCAAAGTGAAATTATTTTACAGACTTATATCCTCCTCCAAAACCAAAACAAAAATCCTCAGCAAGTAAGACACAGGCTTTCCTGAAGAAAGTATTAGTCTTTTCCACAATGCCCATTAAAATCATTACAAACTCCACTTGTGTTTAATCAATCTAATCACAATATTGAAGCAGAATTTCTGATTATTTACAAAATTATTAATCTATCCACTTGAAATGTTATCTTACATTCCAGAAAACATAATGAATAGCAAACACCATCATCTGTGAGTGACCACCTTACGTATATATTTGGAGTGCCCTTGTCCCTACTCATGTTCAAATATTTTAAGGCAGTTAAATTTAGATGAGTTGGGAGTAAGTTTGACACATTCCTCCTCTTCAGTACCACAGAGCTGTATCCCCCCTATGCTGAATGATGAATCCCTGCTCTGCAGTTCCTCAAGCTGGGCTTGCAGAGCTAAACAGCTTGGCCTGTTTGACTGCCTGTTAATTGGCCTCCAGGAAAGCCAGGCTGCAAAATGAGAGTCTCTACGAACTGTAAGGCTGGAGAATATTTGTTTACCTCAATTGCACATTAGGAGCTGTTTCCGACAATAGACATGTTTTTTATTACTCCTTAAAACTATTTTTAAATGGCTACAAGCCTCTTAAGAAGTCTCCCAGGGGTATGAGGAATTAAGCTAGAATAAGCATGACAAGTATATAAACTAAGCAATTTTATCAGGCTGTAAATCAGCATTACCATTTCAACCATGTATTTATTCTTGTCTGAGCTGCTAAGACAATAACTACACCTAGCATAAAAATTACTTTGAATATCAGCAATCAAAGATGATTAAGCATTACAGAGCAGGTTTAAACACAGTAAAACCTCCATAAAATTGCTCTGTGCAAAATGAAGAGGGGAAGCACACCTGTATTACACTTTGAGTGTGGCAAATTACTTTGTCAATCACATCATGTAATTTACTTCTGTGCTATACACAATGGAAAGATCAATACTGATGAGAAACTCATTTGCAGTATGTTCACACTGGCAAATTTGTGTGAACTGTGTGGTACCGAGTCTGCCAGAGCAGCCAGTGGCTGAATGGAATTATTTCAACAAAGAAATGACAAAATTTGATTGGCAAAGCAAATAATGTAGTACAAACCAGAATCCTGTTTTGAAACCATTTCCCCCTCAAGATTCCTGCATGACATTTTTAGGTTGGGGTGGGGGGGCTGTTATTATTTCTAAATAACAGTATTGATTTTCCCGTCTTTTATCAAACTTCTGTATGCCTTAGATGAACAGCTTCTATTTTGTTTCTGTCCAGAAATTCTTGCTATTCTTCAGCTGTTCACACAGTTCAGTTATTATACACCTGCCTATGAATACAAGTTTTTAAACACAGGTACAGGCTGTGTGTAACATGTTGCCAGCACATGTCAACATCCAACTGCTGAAATCGCTTCTGTGAAGCCATGGAACCTCTGAGCTTTTGGCTTTCATTGGTCTTTTTTAAAGCACTTAAGTATTTTTGGAAGGAAAATTATAAAGAACTACACAGGCTTCAAAGAAAATCTAAATCAAAACTGATGAGAGTAAAGGACTGATTTGGGATTTCCAAATGTTGCAGTATCCCTTTCCAAAAAAACTGGGACAGGACATTTTAGAGATGCAGATACCCAACTCCCAGAACCTCCCCCCAGGATCAGGATGCCAGCAAATTTTAAAAGGCATTTCAGTGGACCTGGCTGGTAAGTTCCTAAAAGTTACCAAAATATTTGACTGTACAGGGAATTTTGCCTCCTGGTATAAAAAGCTTAGAAGATCAAAGCTGCACCCAACTTCCCACGGAGAGGGGCCTGACATGAAGCACAACTGAGCAGTAACAACCCAAAATGTGTGATCTTGGGTTGCTCAAGTCTTGTGGGAACAAAATGTCAGCTTTTATACATCTCCAGGAAAAAGAGCGTCTCCTTCCCATCTTCCCCACAGACACCAACGGAATTAAATAGTTTCTGGCACTGATCCTTCCTCCCAGTCTACTCCATTTGAGTTTCCTGTGTGCCCCTCCTTCCCAGCACCAACAGACCCTCCCCTTCACACCTGCAGTGTGTATTTCCAGCAGGTATTGCTGGTTCTTATTTACAGTCACTCTGAAAACCTTCCTGTGCCCAGCACCTCTGCCAGGCCACAGTGAGCCCCTTCCTGTTTCTGCCACCTTCACTTTTCCCTATCCAAGTCCTTTACATTTTCTTTAGACCTTGATGCTCTTTCTTGGGACACCTATTCAAAGCCAGGCTGAATCCACTCTGGTCTCTACTCCTGCTCTCTGCTCTCCCTGTCTTCTAATTCCCCTAAATTTCAGCTTTTGTCTTCGTGTCTCTTCCACTAAGAATTCATTTTTCTGCTAAATATTTCTTCTCTTCATTAAAGTCACTCCAGGAAACCAACTGCTCCCACCACTGTTTTGCAATGTGAAGATTACCAGGCCTTCTACCCCCTGCAAAGTCAGGGAGGCTGGGAGGAGGACACCCTTCCTCCCACTGAGATGTACTTCAGAATAACATATTTGCTTCAGGTCTATGCACTCTCACTGCAAAGAAAGCAATCTGGGGTGAAAGCCCACTTGGAGCCAGAACCGTGCCCTCTTCAGAGGTGCACAACACTGAACTGCACTGATGTCCACAATGTACTGTTTTAAGATTTTTTTGTGAAGAATAATTGCAATTACCTGCCATTTTGCCAGCCAAAATCTCCATTAACACCACAGTTGGCATCTGTGCCAGTGATTCACCAGTACTGTCTCAGTGCAAGGCCTCCAAAAATGTCCCCATCTGGATTTGCACATACCTCTGGTCCACTAAAACAGTGGCACTTCCTTCAGATTCTGCTGCTTTATGAAACTACAAAGGATATGATGACTCTGCGCCCTGTTTACTAACCAAGGATAAAATTTTCACTCCCAACTAAGAGGAGGCACAGTAACCTCCAACCTCTCCATCAGGCAGATGCTACAGCCACATGAACATTACAATGTTCAGATTAATGTCCCACCCCAGACTCTTTGCTCCAAGAAAATCTTGCACAGTATCGAGTCACTGGAGAAGAAAATCCTGCCAGTTACAGAAGTCAGTTCATACACAACTTCTGTGCAGCTTTGTCAGTTCAGCTGTGGACAGCAGAACCATCCCAGTGCCACTGGTTCTCCAGGCTCAGGTATCCCAGGTGTGCACAGAGATGATAAGCAGGGGGTCACCAGAAATCCTGGTACAAAGGTCTGTGAAGTGCAATGTGTTTTTATGCAAAAGGGAAGGTGTTTTATGAAAGTTTAACAGGCAGACAAAAGACACAGAAGGGACACATCTGTGGGAAGTAGGGAAAAACAGATGAGTACATCCCACTAAAAATAAACCAACATTTGAAAGTCTCATTACTTCGTGTTTACCTCTTGTTTCAACGACTCTGACACAGAGATCCCGTCAGTTGTTGTTTGTCAGGAGGGAATACGAGAGAGAGACTATGACAGATCAGTCACAAAGAACTGCTCAGTTAAAAAGAGAATCAAGTGTCCTTACCCTTGTTCTGTCCTCAATCTCATAGATGCGAAGCTGCATGGGAACATTAAAGCTATGCAGGATATTTCCACCAAACACCAGAGAATCTACCGGAGTATAAACCGCGTGTATCCACCCTAGAGAGGGAAAGCAAACAACTGAGAATGCCTCGTGCTACGTAGTGTTACACAGCAATTTATCATCAAATTTTAACAACCCCCTGAGCCCCACTGTGCAGGAGATGAGAGGGTAAAGCAGTGAAAGGTTAAATGGGATGCTCATAGCCCCACTTCAGGACCAGTCACAGTAGAAGGGCATCTTGTGACGTACCACCCTCTGTAAATCAGGTTCTTCTATTTATTCACCGAACAGTTACAGTGTTTACTGAGCACACTCAAGCTTGTGACTCAACCCCATCCATGACTAAGAAGTAAATTCAGTCTGTTTGATACACTCAGGCTCTCAGACGTATCTCCTGGCACCTCCAGCGGGGCTGCAAACCATGTTAGCAGTGGTGGGGGCAAAGGCTGTGGGACTGGACTGAGGCACAGCAAACGTCCTTCACACCAGCACCAGAACACACAACTTCAGATGTCTGAAATGTCAACCTGCCAGCCCTCCTTCAGAGGTGAAAGTTTCACCTCCTTTGATCAACTTCCTGAAGTAACTGAGAAATCTTTTTGGCTGAAAGCCCCAAGTAAAAGGATTTAACATTTCTATTACTGGAGCTGATAAGGCTGTTCTGATCCAGTCCCACAAGGGACTGAATTCATTCCACAGGCTCCAAAGAATCTTCTATCACAACGAAAATCCAGGCACAGCAATTCAGGCAGCCACACACCAGCTCTTCTGCCTCTGCATTGTTTGCTTGGTCTGTCAGGAGCTGAAGCTCTGGCTATGCAAGACTGTAGCCTCTGATCTCTGCAGTGAAAAAGGAATTGATCCTGCTAATGATCTGGGACCCACAGAGACTTGACACTTTTTTTCCCCTTCTTTTTTTTTAATGAAAAGCATTACAATTTATAAACCAGCAGACAGCAAAGCAACATGGGGGGCGGTCAATTTTCTCCTGACTGTGCAGTACTTTCCATTAAAGCTGTGGCAGCTCTCCTTCACTTCCACATCAGTGAGGGAGCAGGGAAATGCCATTCAGCCTAGAGGGTTCCCCAGCTAGCAGCCACAAAAGTGCTCCTCCACAACAGTCTTTCGACCATAAAGGCCTGCAAGGCTCTACCTGAGAAGTCCTTGAGCCAGAGCAGACGGCGGGACTGAGGCTTTCATTTAAGGGCATGTTGGTAGGAGAGAAATATGAAGGAGAAAAAATCAACACTAGAATTTTCCCTCTGGAAACACAGGCCCAGCCCTCTGGATACATTATTTTTCTGAATTTCAGAATCAGGGAATGGTAGAGGTGTGGAAGGGACCTCTGGAGGTCCAGCCCCCTTCTTGAGCAGGACCACCCAGAGCCAGCTGCACAGAACTGTGTCCAGCTGGCTCTTCAGGAGCTCCTTGGATGGAGACTCCACAGCCCCTCTGGGCAGCCTGTTCCAGGGCTCAGCCAATTCCCAGGTCTGATTCCACACACCCAATGTGACACATATAAAACCAGTGGGTGGCTCATGGCTCTGGCAGCTCATGGAATTATTGCACCTTTCCTGCTTCAGTCAGGATAATTTCAGCTGCAGAGTCACTCACAATGATCCAGCCTGTTTATTACTTCCAAATCAAGAACAATCAGCTAGAGAGGAATGTGGGGTTTTTTCATATAAGGGTAGGGTGGCAACTACATACATGAACATTATAAAAGCTTCACAACTGAAGGAGTTCAGCACCTCACATGAAATACATCAGTCTGTACTAAGAGCAAACTACTAGAAAAATAAATTATCTTCCTGATCTAGTCTTTGGGAAGGAAAACAGATCCAAGGTCAAAGAAGTTGGAGTCACTGCTTCCACTGGGTAATCAAAGACTTCTGTGCCTGGAGGAAACAATGGAAGCCATGTGCTGAAGCAAATCTCTTGCTGGGTCCCCAAAGCAATTTATTGGCTCGGTGCTGAAACACAGGGTAGGTCTGTGTGACAATTCACCTTAATTGTCAGGTTTAAAGATGAACAAAATGAAGCTCGAAAAAGTGAAATGACTCGTCCACGGCCACACAAGTGAGTGGTGGCAGAAGACAGCTCAGAAACAGCCAGTTATCAGAACACTGGAGAGCCCCCACCACCACTTCCCATTGCAGCTCCCTCAGCAGAGGTGTCGATGTCCAAGCACACCGGAAACGACAGATGCAACAAGTTATTTTAATGGAATGATCAACATCATTCAAGATACAATTTGATATCTGATATTTACAGCTTAAGTAAAAGGAGTAGCTGAGCAGAAGCCTGGCTTTCTAGTCCAATATGAAAGGTTAAAAGGAGATATCCCTTCATTTTATAACCAATAAAATGAAATCCCATCAATGCAGTTGTTCTTTGAGTGGATGCTTCTACTGCAACCACACAGTAGCCTCCTCCTACAAATTGTATTTTCTCAGTGAAAATTTCACGCTGGAGGGCAGCTGGTTTCATTGTTTCCTGCTCTTTGGGCTTCACTCATCACACCTTCCCTGACCTCTCGACTCTGCCCCCACTAGATGCCAAGGATCTTTGTATCTGCTAGACTTTCTTGGCACTAGTCCCAATATTTCTGGGAGAAATGTGAAAGGATCTATCACTGGCTTGAGCCAACGCTCCAACAAACGGTGTCCCAGCCCTGATAAGTGCTCAGCAGAAAGATAACAAACACAAATATAGTTTTGAACATCTATTGTTACAGAGCTGATACAGGTGCAAAACTAAAGTCTTCCTTAAATTATCTGAGACAACCTCTGGTTCCGTGGATAACATCTTTAATTCCCTACTTGCATTTATAATACAGGACTAATCATCTTAGAAACAATTAGTGCCTTCAACAATTAGTGCCTTCAACTGCCAGCTTCTGAACTAACTAAATATAAGCTCCTTCAAGATGCAAGTATTTCTAACAGCAAGACTGAAAATACTGCTAAATACTGTTAATGACACAGTTCTCAATATAAAGACCCTACAATAACGCAGCCCTAAAATCCACCAGAGTTGGGAAAATAAAAATAAACCAGAGACCAAGCAACAAACTCAAAATCATTAACTGTAAAGTCCTGGTAAGTAAAGTTCCTACCCCTGCCAAAGCATGGAATAGGATGATTTCCAGGCACAGCTCAGAGATGGGCATGGATGATGCCTGTGGGTACCATCCCTTCACTGCTGAGCACAGAGCTCAGTCCTGGGGAATCCCAGATCTCCAGCAGTTCATGTGCTCCCACAGGCAGCATCCAGCTCACAGCCCCTCTGCCAGCTACAGGACACAGCCCTGTCACAGGAGTCACCTGCACACAAAATAGATTTTGGCCACTCAGCTGTACAGGGTGTTTCAGTCACACTGTATCCCAAAATAGCTTCCACTTGCCTGAGGAACGTCCGTGCATAATTGAAACTGCAGAGGCACAAACGCCAAGAGGTGTATTCCAGGGACACAGCACAGAATGGGCAAGGTTAGACAAAAATGATGGGAGAATTGACCAGGCAGAAAATCCCAGGAAGATGGACACAGGCGTTACAAAGGAAAAAAAAAAAACATTAAAATCTCCTGGTTTAATATTAACAAGGCTGTGTACAGAGAAAAACTGGGAGCCAGCACCAGAAAAGTCGAAGTAGGAGGAAACAGAGATGAGCAGAACACAGGAAACAGTTTCCATCAGGGTAATATATTGTGGAAATGAGCTCTGAGAACAGAGAAGCTTGGATGGCACATTCAATCCATCCCCACAGCTTAGATACAGCACGACTCAGAAATAAACTGAGGAGGATGAATGTTCATTGTGACCATTTGCAAACAAGAACACCCATCTTCTCAGCTCCCCAATTACTAAGGTTTTTAGAGAGGAAGATAAACCTCCAGAACAGGAGAAAGCTGCACGTATGTGTCAGACAAAAGAGCAGCCAAGGGGCTTCTTCTGGTATCATCCCCACCACCACATCCCCTGCCTCACCTTCACCTGTGCCACTGCTTTTCATCAGATGAATCGACAGCTCTGTTGACATGTGTGATCACATCACCCTGTGCTGAACAGCCTGTCATCTGTGTTCATGTGTGTCTGACTTCCAGCTCTCACAGCAGCACCTTGCCACAGAGCCTCCAACACAGACACCTCTGGACTGAGTTCCTCAGTTCTCTCCTCAGGGACTGCTTTCTGCTGCTCACACAAACCCTGGCACTGCTGCACAACCCTCTGTGTTTCATGGCTTAGTGCAAGACAGGAGATAACACCTCACCTCTTGGTCACTGTCTCAAAAACTGTAACATTGTCAAAAACAAACAAAAAGGAACACAGAGTAAAATGCCACAAGTTCAGTTTTATCCTTCATGCTAAAAAAAAAGCACTGGAGCAATATCAGAACAAATGGATTAAGGACTGAAAAAGTCAAAAGTCAGTGGAATAAGATATTATTAATTTTTGGCTGAAAGCCACAAACAAAAGCACCTGCTAAATACCACCTAAAGCTACAATTAAATCCTGCAGATGAAAGACATACACTGTGGCTTCAAGGACTAGTCATGAACTAGAAAACTCTTCCTCATGGATGACCAGCCTCAAACCAGCCTGTGCTGATATCAGTGACGAGGGAGGGAAGGTGGAACCAACCCGTCCTTCCTTCCCTGGGAGCAGAGCTCTCCACACCACACGCCAGCACCAGGCTCAGCCAGAGGGGATGTGTGGATTTGGGAGTGCAGACACTGCACACTCACGGCTCACAGCCCTCAAGTCAAGCCTCAACAAGAAGCCCATCCACTTACGGTTTTCTGAAGCTGATGTTTTTTATTTCAGTTCTCGGTGATCAGTAAGTGCTTCTTCCTTCCCAAAACAATCCTACTTTATGAAGCCAAGCCAACACTGAGCAGGAATTCTATTCAGGAGGCTCAGAAATGCTCTCAGCTGATTTACAGTTATGAATTATTCCACCACTCCTAAGATACTTGAATATTTAGATGTTATCATCTCTAGTAAATCAAGAAGGTAAAATTAACAGTAACAAACGTTTTTCTGAACAGTTAAAAGACATGATCTCATTATCGTTTGAATTTTATAAAACAAGTATTATTAAACATTGCAAACTTGTTAGAAGACTTCAGTGGGCTGCAAATTCCTACTCAAGGATGCAATCATCCATCTGAGAATAATGAAAAAGAATATTAACTTACAAAGCTACGGGGCAAACAGCCTGCAAGCTCCAAGACAAAACTATGGTGAATCTGTTTCCATTAGTAGCTGAACAGATATTTTCCTTTGTGATAAAGAAGTCACACACATCTTCCTGTAATTCTACAACAACTTGGGGTGGAAAAGATGAAATATGTACACCTCAAAATTAAAAAGTGACTAAAGAGATAACCTGAGAGTGGGCACTGACAGTAAATGAAACATTATTTCACTCATCTCCAAAGAAGAATGACTGCATCATAATAGTGCCCACAGCCCAATACATCAAGGAAAGATCATGTTTACATTTTTAAGGTTAAAAAATTACTAATTTTGCCCTGATAGTAAAAGTAATCCAGCAACTCTCAATCTTGTATCATTTGTAAGAATTAGGTAGAGCACTGCACCAGGTATAGAACCAAAAATCCAACATTATGCTGTCAGCTTCCATCTGAAAACAGACACTCGGGCAAAAAACCTCTCCTCTTTGATCCTCTCCAGATCTTCATCACTTGATCCTCACTAAGGTTCCAGGCATGGAGCTTCCATTAGTATCAGTGGAAGCTCACAGAATGGGAAAAGCTGAACAGCAACCAGAAATAGCCAGGCAGCTCTGCAGCCCCAGCACAACACCCTGCACAAAATTTACCAGTCAGATTTTAATAGCCTGTCATTCTCCTTGCTACAAAGACTATGTGCCACCTTCTGGCCCCATCACACAATAATCCATCAAACTCTCACTGGCACAGCAGAGGTGACCTAAGACCGCACACTCGTAATAGGCAGAATCCCACTGTTATCCACTGAGACAGCATCTGAAACACTTTGAATCCTTGCAAATAGCTGCCTGCAGTCTACACAGAACATCTCCTTCTGTCCACTTTCCTTCCCAAAAACATTCATCTGAGAAAGGTCATTATTTCCGCATTTGACTGGAAATAAGAACTTTGGAGCACTCCCAGGTTACCATCATAATCGCCACGGACCAACGAGGATATTTTCTTAGACTGTGGCTCATTCTTCAGCTCTCAAGAAATTAAGAGAGACTCTAACAGCATGTTTCCATGCCAAAGGCCCCAAAGTGCAGTATAAAGAACATAAGAAAAATGAAGTAAACCAAACAGCTTACTCCTCAGTGGAATGCTGCCAGCCTCGAGGTGAAACACAACTGCTGTAAAATCGCAGCAACATGAGGGAGAAGTTTGAAGAGGAACCAGAAAGGAACATCATCCAGTTGACAGCCAGCTATCCTGTCTGGATTTTGATCACAGGAATGTTGAATAAATCAGCACTGCAAAAGTCTTCTACAATATCTAATGGCAGTCCAACATCTCATCTCTTCCATGTGCTTCCATGTACTTAAAGCTACATATTTGAAAATCCTACAGTAAGATCAGCAGAGTCAACCCAAGTTGTAACCCATCCTGGGAAAAAAACAGATTTCTGCAGAAAGAAAAAATAATCATTTACTGACACTGGCAGCAACTATGGTTTCCTGCCCTCTAGAACCTTCAGCTGGTCTAATATCTTGAATCTAATCTGGCCATAAACTTCAGCATGGCACAACATGGTGTATTTCTCAATCAACAATTATGCTGACACCCGTTATATTAATGGCAAAGGCTTGGTTCTGAGTTGATTTTATCACTTTACCACAGACTTTACCAGAGTTATGATCCTTTACTCACCAGTGGGAACCAGTAAAGTGGGTGGTGAGAACTCGTAACGGTGCAGGGCTTGTGTGGAGCCATCCTAGGGGGCCACCAGGAGTTCAGCCGGCACTACATGAGGCCCCTCACACAGTACCCCTCAGAATCCCAGCCTACTTCCCCCCTCCTCATATTTAGGAAGAACTCCTCAAATGCTTCAAGAGGCACCTTGGCCCATAACAACTCACTGTGCTGACAATATTGGGCTCAATTCCTCCTTGATCCCACAGTTCAGATCGTGCCTCTCAGTGCCTTGCAGGGTTAGAAGCACAGGTTTAAACTTAATCCTGAAAGGATGATGGAAGTGATGGAAAGCAAAATACCCTGAGGCCCTGGTGAGCACTGTAATTATGCCTTCTGTAAGAATGATTCCCATTCTTGGCCAAGTGGTTTGTAGTTTCAGGGATTTACTGGATCTACTGCTGATCCCAGATTCTCAGAGAAACCTTCCATTTCCCACGAGCCTCTGATCTCTCACTCCCCCACAGGTCTTCCTACAGTCTTCTCTGACTACTCCATCCTCACACTGCTATGGTACAATATCATTTCTAGGACCACTCCCAAAAATTACTCAAGAACAGAAGCAGAGCAGGATATATTTCAGTCCTTTGCTGAAATGTTCTCCATTCACAGTCCATCTGAGCACTAATTCCTCTACACTTCCTGTGACTAAACCTGCAATTAGAAGGTATTTCCTTGTGGATGAGTTGAGGCTGGTCAGGAGTTTGTCAGGCTCAGCTAAAAATATGGGACACACTGGTTTTACAGACACCAATAAACAGAACCTAAACACTATGAACACTTCTAAAGCACATAAAAAACACTTCCAAACATTAACTAACATGGTATGTGCACAAACCAGAGCAAAGAGGTCATAGGAACTGACCTGTTTTACACAGCTGTGCTCAACTCACTGACCTGGAACAGCCTTTAATCAGGCATTTCCATACTCTTAAAACAGAGACAGAAATAATGCTCTTTCACATAAATAAGAGATTTGCAAGTAAGTTTTCTGAACAAAGTACAGCAGAGCAAAAACCCTTGAATCTATGAGGTGCTTAGACAGAAATTATTCATAAATGCTTTTCAAATGTGGCACAGAGCCTAAAATGTCTGAGGTGTTGGCATTTCTGTACTTGGGGCTTTCCTAAGAAAACAGAAACTACTGTCAAAAACCCATTTGGAATCACTTTGTGTCAGCCACCATGTTACAGCTGTGTCCTGTCCAAGCTCTCCCAACCTGCAGTATTCCAGCTGCTGAGCATGACTAAACTGACATGCAGAAAGTCTTATTTGGAGGAGCCTTTTCACAGGAGGATGAAGATAAATACGAAGATGCAGTAATGGGATCTGAGCAAACAGCACAGCCACACTCAAACACCCAGTTCAAACAGTAACAGCACATTCTGACCTGTTCCAAGGGAAGATCTAATTCCTTTAATGGATTAACTCCTCCACCCTCAAAGTCATTTTGCCTGTCAGTCCCAGGCTGATTCTTACCAAATACTTACAAATGTGCACATTTGTGGCCTTCAACTGATCCCAGCAGTGCTCCCCAGCTGGGAAGAACATTGTCACTGTCTCTGCATGACCTGCACTGTCTTTAAGGCTAAAAAATAATAATCCTAAGAGTAATTAATTCTAGAGCTGAAAAACTATCAACCTATCTTTCTGTCATGTAGAAAGTCTACCTATACTTATCTCCCTGGCAAGATCTACCTAGACAGAGGCAATGTGTTAAATCATTATAAATAAACGTACAGTCCCATAACAGTCAAGGAAAGCAAAGTCTGATATCGTCTTAAATGAGGAGTGTTACACATTCCACCATCATTAATCCAATTTAGGCAGGAGCAGAAAGGGCTGAAGCCATCAGCCTTCAAGGCAGCAACTATTTGGTGGCTTTGCAAGATGAGCCTGGATCATGCAACACAGCTACTGAGGTGGGCAGGAGTGTAAAACTGAGGGTGGCTGGGCTGCTGGAAGATTTCCAGGTTCAGCACAGTCTCCATCGACAGAAATCCGAAGAGTTATAACAATAAAACTGTTTCCCAAAGAAGCAACCCTGAGGGAGCACAGCACCTGCTCTTCCAAGGACTGGAACCTCCCTAGAGTTCCATCAGGGAAGCAAGACCCACCTCTGGTTACAAATAGAGGCAAAGAAGCCAGTTACTGAACTGCAGGTGAAACCTGCCAGAAGAGACCACAAAAAGAGGAAAACATCTTTCCCAGCAAACTTCCAACAGCAGTCAGTACGACTCTGGGGAGGAGTGGTGCACTGACAACCCCAGAGGCCCAAGTCCTCTCTCCCCCAGTACTGCACAAGTGATCACTGCACAGATTCCTCACAGCACATTTTCCATAAGTCTTAATATCTGGAAAATTAAGTGCATTCAGTCCTTCGCCTTCCTTCTGCCACAGCTAATAAGGAGGTCAGTACAGGGTTTAGGTGTGAAGAATTGTTTTACGGAGAACTGTTAGTCAAACACAACCCCAGTGATTCCAAAAAATTAGTTCCCAAGAGATACCTGAAGGAATGAAGAACGTGTAGCCTTGTTTCAGCTCAATTCTTTGGCACCGTTCCACCCTGTCTCCCAGAAAGATATCACTCTGCTTTCCTGAGAGAACCCATTCTTCATAAAGTTCTAGATTCTGCAGAGTGGGCGGAATCAGCCAGAAGATCTAAAAATAAAATGAAAATTTAACTATTACCAACAGTCAACAAAAATAAATAGCTGAGAGATCCCACCAAGGTCATCCTGTGTTAGACAAATGAGCCACTTTCTGCATAAAACCCTGGTTTTCCAGGTGTTGTACACAGAGGCACACACACAGACAGCAGCAGCAATTAGTCCATGTTGTGGAAGTGGCTGGATAACTGTCAGTTGTCATCTCTTTTCCAGAAACATCTCACTCAGAAGATGCCTGGGGTTTACCTGCAGGTCAAAACAGTGTGTTGGTACAGTACAGCTTCACTGGACTACAGAGATAGTACTTCACTGGACTACAGGATCTGCACCACAGATTTATTTCAGTTCCCACCATACACTGTCTATACTACAATTGGGAAAAACATCCTAAAGCAGAGATGATGTGAATGTAGCCATACACACTGTGTATTTAAACACTACTGCATCCTGTAATATTTCAGTTCTGGCATACTGTGCCTGTGCACACTACAGGAACATGGAATTCTGAAAGGAACAGAAGCTCTAGCTACAGAAGGAGACTTGTGAGGGCACTCTGACCCAGCAAGGGTACACACAGCCACATCTCGCTGCAAGACGCTTCTGGACCACACAGCAAAAGCACCACCAACACAAATAACACATTTGGTATTTCAAATAAATCACTCATTTGTTTCATAACGGTGAGTGACGTCCTTCTAGTTCAGCAAACTCTGTGTGTATCAGTATCAACACAGCTGCTGAAACAGACTGAGAAAAAAAGGAGAAAAAAAGAAGAAAAAAAGAGAAAGCAACCCTTCCCCTCCATAAGAGGCACAGACAAATAAAAACAAATATCAAATAAGGTTCACCTACCTTCCCCCCACGGAAAACGTGATACCACACTGAAGTGCCACCAAAATCAATATGAAAATCAGTGAAGCATCCTTTCACACTCATCAAACAGTACCTGCAAGCAGAGTGAAGGACAAAAATGAATCAGTCTGAAACAGTATTTTTCACGTCTTGATTTGCAGCGGTTAACTGTGTGTGCAGTGCTGCTTCCACCAATTAAGTTTCTGCATTTATAGTACAGTGATTTGTCTCGTGAATCTAACGAGGTTTCTGCTGAAAAACGCGAATCTCCACGTCTGAGTTTGCTGTTCATACGAGAGGAACGAAAGCCTTCAGAGTTAAGGAATGGAAAAACATTAAAAGTGAGGCTGTTCAGAAATATTTCTTATGCCACTGCCAGTCCCCGGGGTGATCTGTTTAATGCTCTCCGTCACCGCTCGAGAGACACAACCTGCACCAAGAGTTGTACACAAATGGCTTCAAAGAGCAAAGTTTTGAAAAATCTAATTTGCCTATAAATCCTCCTGAATGTTCTTTACCTACTTGCCACTCATGCCATTTTTGCAAGGACTGGGGGACAGAAACCTCGTTTGGCAAACTAACTCCTTTTTGTTCACATTTCTAGGCATTTCGGCATCAAAATACATAAAGGACCCAGCTGGCAGCAACGCTAAAGATCAAATCCACTATTTTTTATGCCATCTGGATACAGGTTTTGAGCAGTTTAAAGTCGGCATTGCTGGAAAAAGACACAAGAGCTGTGTTCTGGCTGCAGGAATCTCCAGGCTCCAGCCACCATCTGTAACTAATGGCCGAATCACAGCCGCCCTCCTCACTGTAGGCACCTTTGCAAACGCAGGAAACACACACCACTTAACCCACTAACCTCTTTTCCTTGTTCCGGTCTCCGTTTCATGGCTTTTTTTTTTTTTTTTTTTTTTTTTTTTTTTTTTTTGCTTTGCTTTGCTTTGGTTTTTTAAGGGGAGTTATGGAAACACCACCGGAACGGGATTTGGAACAAAAAAAAAAAAAGAAAAAAAAAGGGGTTTCATTTAAGTGTGTCTTTTTCTGCTCACAGGCAGGTAGGAGAAGCTCAGCAGTATGCAGCCGGCGTGCAGAAGTCCCTGTAGATGATAGGCTGGGAAGGACCTTACCATGTGTCTGCAGAAGGCTGGCAAATCAGAGCCACTCTGGGTCCATAAGAGCCGCTGCCTAGCAACCACATCCCGAGCCGGAGTTGACAGAATGATACGCAATGCTGTCATGAAGACAGTCAATTTGTGCGCTTCAAAAAAGGTCCTGCGCCTTCATCTCACAATTAAAACCTCTCCTTGTGCAATTACACGTCTCTCCTCTTGCCCACTCTGGAATTTTTTTAATTTTTTTTCCTAATCCTTCAGAAGCAGGAAGAAGCTTTTGCTGCCCCTGGGGTATTTCAGATGCTTCAAAAATCACAGCTAGCCAAGAAGCTGTCTACACTCTCAATATGCTCCATTTCAAAATATGAGTCCTTCCCTCCCAAACACTTTTTTTTTTTAATTTCTCCTTTTATGTTTTCTCTACCAAGATGTTGTTGATTACAAGTCAGATAGAATTTAAAAACAATAAAAGAAGCCCAGAAAGGAAGTTGCCTTTCTTCCAGCCAAACTGCAAAAAGTCACAGATTGAATAATTATTGCTCATTAAGGAAAAAAAAAAATTAGCATGGTAATTCTCAGTTTGTGGGCAGTGCTGTGTATTAGAGGTTCATGTTGTTTTAAAGTAAAAAAATCCAAATCCTTATGGAGTCAATTATTTTCAGTTTCCAAAAGGTCAGATGTAAAATATATCACACTAACAAAAATTTTCTAGACAATTTTTCTACCAACAATCACCTGCTGAATTAAGATATTCTGAAAGAGGAAACATGGCCTGAGCATTAGCTGGTTTTAGTTATTCCTCAGTAGTCAACAATCTAAACCTGAAGCAGTCGATCTGCTTGTGTTCAGAGAGGAAATAACAGGATTGAATCCCATCAAATCAACGCACTTAAAATTTAGTTTTGTGAGAAAACACCAAGGCAGGTATAAGTATGAACACTCAACTCTTTCTTACCCTTGTTTTCCCCCATTTTGCCTCTGTTTTCTTGAAACTCCTCTAAACACAATTACCAATGAAGATGGTTTTAGTGAAAGAGCCACATATGGTGATTAAGAAAAACCTACAAAGCCTTTGGAAAATAAACCAGTTTTTCCTTCCATCCACAAGCGAGCCATGCCTTAATTCTGCTGTTAATCTCCCAGGCCTGCTTTTGTCCCAGCCCAGCAGCTCCCGGGCGGCTCAGGAGCCTGCGGGAGGATCTTCCGCCATCCAGCACTCCCCTGGTTGCCAGAGTCTGGCACAATGCCTTTGCATTGACCTCTACAGCTTCCTCTTCCAATGTACACCGCAGTCACATGGTCCCAGCACAGCTCCATGCCACAGCTAATCTCAGGCACCGCTCTGCTCCAGCCTCAGCCAGCGGCTTCTCGTCACCAGCAGCTGCTAATTTGGGGGACGACTCAACTTTTTGGGGTTTTCCATAAAACCAATTAAAAAAAAAAAAAGGGACAGGGGGAAAAAAGCCATAACACAGCTTCCATGTTGAAAGAAATCTAGGAACTACATCTCACTGCATGCTGTGGTCACAGAGCTCTGGGCCAAGCAGGTACAGTGGGTACAGGAACACACTCCCACATCGGGCATGGGGACACAACCTGATCAGAGTTACACCCTGAAAACACAGGCGACGCAAAAGATGCCCCAACTTTAATATTTTCACAACTGCTACCACATCCAATCCCTGCCCACTCCACTTTATCTCCCTGCACAGCCTCAGTCAGGGTTTTAAAACATGCAGCTGCTTGTAATCTGTTGTGGGGGAGCTTCCCTTCCCCACTGAAGAGTTTGGTTTATGTTCTCCACAAGGCTGAAATTGTTTGATTTAATGTATTGTTATTTTGAAAGAAGGATTTGTGGTGTGGAGAAATGGAGAACTTTCCCCCCCACCCCCCCAAAAAACCCCCAAACATCTGGGGAAATTTGTTAGAGAAATGATGCGAAGAAATATGGAGTAACCTGCAAACTCACGGGGAAGAACAAACACGGAGATCCAAAAAAAAAAAAAAAAAAGAGAGAGGGAGATGATACAAACGAAGCTAAACCACTAAGCAAACACAGCGAGCTGGGAACACAGAAACAACACAGACACCGCTCCATAAGCCAGCGCAGAGACCACACTCCCAGGCAAACCCACAATGCACTCGCCACGCATCGCTACAAACCCGCAAGCAAACAGAGAAACAAAGACAGCGAGAGCCGCGCCGGGATGCGAAGGCACGGCCGGGCAGGGCGAGCAGCGATCATGCACATGGGCTCGGGGAGACGCGAGCGGACGCACAGGCAGCAGCATTACCCTGAGCTCAGCTCCTTCTCTCCCGCAATAGGCACCGCGCACCATACGGCTCTATTCCCTCTGGCATTGCGAGGGCTCCCCTGCCACTGAGCTCAGCCCATAAACCACTCCCAAACCCCAGCAGAGGCTTCTGTTTTTTGTTCGGGCCAATGAGAAAAGTATAGCTCACTCTTCCTTCCTCCCAGGAGCAGCGCCGGCTGGTTGAAATCCCTGAGCCTGAAACCGAATACCACAGACCCATGAGCCAACTGCAAGTGCCAGCGCGGGGAAAGGCGCGGGCCTGGCTCCTCATCCCCGCGCGGGAGGGACGCTCCCGGCGGTGGGAGGAGGGCGGCCCCCGGCAGCATCCCGGCACCGCGGGGCCCCTTCTCCCGGGCCTGGGCGCGGGAGCTGGAAGGAGACGGCAGGAACAAAAGCTACCTCGGGGCGCCTCGGCCCGCACCGACAGCGCTCCCACACTGGGGCCCTGCAACTGGAAGCCACAAATTGCGCCGCAAGACAAAAGAAACCATTGTCACCCGAGAGGCACCGGCCCGGCTGCCGCTCCCACCCCCGGCTCACCGGGGAGAGACCGGCCCCGCCACTGCCGGGAGGGCCAGGCTGCTCCTCAGGGATGAGCCCGGCTTCTCAGGGATGAGCCCCGGCTGCTCCCGCGGGGATGAGCCCCAGCATATTCTCGGGGATGAACCCGGCTTCTCCTCTGGGATGCGCCCCAGCGGGGATGAGCACCAGCATCTCCTCGGGGATGAGCGCCGGCTGCCCCCACAGGGATGAGCCCCCCGGCTTATCCTCACCGAGGGCCCCGGCTCGCCCGTCAGGGATGAAGAACCCGGGCTCTCCCCTCATAGAGGGCCCCCAAGCACCCACCCGTGGCAGCCGGGCCGGCCCTGCCCGTAGAAGGCCCCTCGGACCCGTGCCGTGCCCACCGGGACCGTCCTCCGCCCCCGTCTCCCTCCTGGGCAGCGATACCCAGCGCCCTCAGCCCGGGCGAAAACAACCCCAACAACCCCACGCCGTGATCACCACACCCCGTGCGCGCACCGGGCACTTCAAACGGACATGAAAGGCCCGGCTCCTGCCCCGAGGGGGTTACGATCCGACTCAGTCACACAGAAACAACATCCGAGATAAGAGAAGTTTGTTTTCTGCCACGCACGGAGGAGTTTGTGAAGCGACTGCAAATCACACTCAGACACCACACTGGGGCCGAAGTGTGTGACAACACTTCCCTCGTCCCGCCCTTGCCGGGTCCCAGCCCAGGTGGAACACCGAGAGTGTGCGGGGTGGGCTCACAGGGACAGACTGATCTCCAGCCGCCAGATTTTGGCACTGACAGCCCGCGAAGATGGTCAGCAGCACGGTGCCCAGCTACCCTCCATGCCAGGCTGTAAAGTGTGATAATGAGAGCTGGAAGGTTTAAGAAGTTTAAGAATGAAGAGGCCTCCTTTTTTTTTTTTTTTTTGGAGGCTTAAATTTCTGAGGAGGCATCCACCACCACAGGGAAATGAACCAAGCTGCCAGTTCACAGCGAGTCAGGCCCGTGTGCCCCTTGAACAGCATTTCGGTGTCTGTGAAAGCAGGACTCACTCTCCCTCCTGTGGCATGGCTGTTCAGCTCCAGACTCACCACAAACTGTTTTAAACAGCTTATTTGAGTTACATGTGTGATGCTGCAAGTCCTCCAATCTCTACACAAAGGAGGATTTGACACAAATGCAATGATGTGAAGACATCCCATTTTATTTACTTTGCGAGCTTGGAAAGTCTTAGTGAGAACTCGCACTTGTTGGTCTGATTTTTTGCACTGAATTGTACTTATAGAGCAGTTTTGTATCAAAAGCAGTTCACAAATGACATACAAAGCGCACACCAGTCTCTCACGTGCACAAACCAGGGTGTTGGGGGACCTGTGAGCTCCCTGGATTCAAAGGGCAATCGCTGTCTCCAGAGGCTCACCCTCAGCTTCTAATTAGACCACAGCTCAGCAGAGCATTTTAGCATCTGTTTAAATCCATCCCTACTTAGTAAAGGAATGAATAGAAAGGAATGGGTGGCTGAATAACAGCCTGGGAGAGGGAAAATAGGGCTGAGGACATGCTAACAGAGCAACATCCTTTTGAGAACAGGTGGATGTTTCACATAAGATACCCCATCCTCCGATGAAGGAGAGCAGCAATATAAAGACCTATTATAAAAGTGCTTAGATATTTAATAAGAAGAATTTTGAACGCAAAAAGCGTGTTGTAGTGACTAAGCTTTCATTTTCATTCATTCCCTAGCACAAACATCAAGTTCTTAGAAGTGCCTGTTACTGTTTTTACAGTCATCAAGTCCTGCACCGTAGCTATTTTCACTGCCACTGTATTGCAAATAATCTTGCAAGGCTACAAACACAAAACCTAATAAAGAGGATAATAATTTCAGCAGGGCTATTTCTTTTGATAAATGAAAAATCAAATTAGTACTTTTTTTTGTTGTTGGTTCGGGTTCAGCTGTATCCAGATTGCTTCAGTCCTGGGTGAATTTAAACAGAAAACTAAATCTGAGCTTGTTTTGATCTACCTAAAAATGGTTATGGTGCTATAACAAGCTTCTGCACCTAAAAGCTGATGTTACAACAGCACTGCCTTTTCCTGCTGCCCTGGCTCCTGGTTACATAGCATGTTCCCACTCTCATCCAGAGTCTCATGTCTGCAAGGCTCTTCTCAGCAACTTGCACCCCAGAATGTGAGAGAGGGGAGGAAGGAACAGGTTTCCTTGGCAGCAGTGAGCTGCTCGCTCTGCTCACCCGGTGTCACCTGGTGGAGTGATCCCACTGCTATGTTTTTTTTCACACTTCTGCACTGCCCTTCTGTTGGCATAAGCATTTATGCAGCCATGTGGTGGTTTGGGTGGCCTGAAAACTAACCAATTTTTGTGTATTTCTGAGTCAGTTTTCAGCCAGAACAGTCCCCAGTCCACTTTGCTCTGCAGCTGCACAACGTGTTTTAGCAACGAGGATGGGACAGTGTGGGCACAGGACTGTCACTGCAGGGGCAATGCCAGCTTATACCAGTTTGAAGTTTGCCACACTTCCACCTCAGCAAGCCATCCTCTTCATTTCTCACGTTGCCTTACTGCTTATGAGATAGTACTTGGAAAGTTTTTTTGACATAAACCGTTTTTCCACTCAATTCAGGCTCCTGTGAGGTAAGCAGTCACTTACCTACAGACAGAAAAATAACCTCATTACCCAGAGGGGTTTTTATAAAAGTTAATGGTGCGGGTCCAAGTGGAAGGCAGGGCGGTCTCCAGCGCACACAGGGCTCCTGGTAACCGAGGCAGCGCGGCAGATGGAGCGTTCTCTAACTTCACTCCCAGCACGGAACTCGACGTGCAGGAGCCAAGACAGACATTTGTGTCTGGTAGTGCCATCTGTGTCTGCGAAACCGCAGCGCTCTCGCTGGAGTGCTTTGTGTTTGTAGGGAACACGTTAATGGTGGGGATGGCACGCTGCAAACTCGCAGGATTGTGGGAATGCTGAGAGCAAGAATGAAATGGAACCATCCCATTCCCGAGCAACAACAGTCATTAATAAAGCATAAGGATATTGACAATTCACATAAAAGAATGAATGGGCAGCATGGAACAAGTGGCAGCTCCGCAACTGAACGTGATCTCCTTAATAAGGGCTTATATCCTCTGGGTACTCACAGCAATAGCTGGGACTAGTATCTCTACAGGAAAGGGCCAGTCTGAATTGCCAAAGATGGAGAAAGCTGATATCGAGGAGTTCACCTTTAAACTGGACAAGTTCATGCAAAAGAAATCTCGAGAGCCACCAAGCACACAGAAACCACTTCCACCTCAGGAAAGCCCCTGCCTGAACTGCAGACAGTGGAAGCTCAGATGATAATTTTTAGGGGTGGCATCATTTTATGCTCAAACTGTTCTTACACTCCTCCCAGGGCATCAATGCCAGCACCCAACAGCAGACAGGTTACTGAGAAGCACAGATCTTTGTCCTGATGTGGTACAGCTTCTGTTGTGCTCCCAGACTATCACTGTTTGTTACTGGTTTTATCTTTGTGGCTTCTTCAAACTGATGAGGGGTTTGTGCCAACAGTGCTGTAAATCATCCTTCTCTAGTCTTTGTGAGATGATGCTCACTAGCAACATCCTCATCACTCCAGCTGCATCACCCTCGCCTTTAACACTCACGCCTGGTAACTCCTTTTCCCACATCAAACTCTATTGTCACATTTCAAGTGCTCACAATCCTTCACTGTTTAGCTTCCCTGTACCTATCACATCTACCAGTTTATCAAGCTGTCAACCTCCACCTTCCCTTTGCCAGTGACAGCAGCCTCAATGGCTCCGTGTCTGCTTCTTCATCAGGCATCTCCTTCTTCTCTCCCAGGCCACCCTCCACACACGGGAAAAACTCCACATCAAAATCTGTTGAATTGCTACATCTCTAAAATCTCTTTGAAACCTACCATCTGGCATTTCATGATGCAAGCAGTGAACTGCAAGCACATACTCTGCTTTTTCTGCTAAATTCTGTTAGTCACGTTGCTACCTTATCCTTTAAACCATTTCTGCCTTGCTTTGTTTACTTGCTACGTGTTTTTCAGCATGCAGAGTGTGCCTGCTCTAGGAAAGGGATTGTTTTCTTTACTTCTTACCTTGTAGAATCCATGAGTCCTGAAGCCCCGAATCATGATTCAGTTTCTTAGCTCTAGCAGATTATAAATAACGTTATTTAACTGACTAACCACTTGGGAAGCAAGTGCTGCTCTGCCACTGGCTTATTGTGTGACCTCAGGCAAGTCACTTAGGACATTTCCAAATGCATATGTGAAATGGGGCACTCCAATCCATATCCAGTTACCCTAACGAGCAGTTTGATCCTTTCAAAATAATGGAGTATCTTTAGCTTCCCATTAAATCAATGGGGCTGAGCACTGGACCAGGCATTGGAGCATACAGTAGGACCAGGCTTGCCATGATGCCTGTCACAGAGGCTCTTCTGTTATGGAGCCCTTTACCTTCCAGAATGTTTATTTTCAGAGAACAAGAGTAAATGCTGTGTATCACTTGCTGACTGCACACTCCTTTGTATCTGTTAGTACCAGTGTATTTTACAGTTTGGAAAGAGTCCTGAGCAATTTTCAGAACACCAGAGGTCGGTTCAACAGCAGAGCCTGGGATGCTGCCAGCATTTGTCTGGCCAATAAAAAATGCCTCTAAATCAGAAACAGCAGTGAAGGGCTTCCAGGATTACCTGGTGTTCATCAGCCATACAGGTCATTACATCATTAACAGGAACCCCTATCTCAGCTGCACTAACTCCTATGAAACTTACAGTGCACATTTTGAGGCCCCCAAATAGTTCCTTTTTCCAAACATCATATGAAAAGTTTCAAGAAAGACATTCAAACAGAAGAAAGAGTGAGGTGAGGTTATGCTTGCCCAAAAGCTAGAGCTGAGCTAGGCAGAATCAGGACAAACTGCTCATTTTTGGTCTCAAACGTGCCCTGAGCAGGTCCTCTGAAATGAGACACAGCCTGTGCAGTCAGTCCAATATTTGATCTTGCTGTTGAAAAAATCAACAGAAAAGTAAACTGTCATGAAGGGCAGTGGCAGAGTTTTTGGGGAGTCACAGACCTAATTGAAAACAGTCTTCAAGTTCATTTCATAAAACATCTCTCAGCTAATAACTACTCAGCCACTAGTGGCTTAGGACCTGGGAAGGATCTGAGCCCAGCCTACAGGAGGACTGACTACACAGTGTGACATCTCTGCATCCTGTGAAGTGATTTCTTTGGGCAGCACTTTCAGAGAATTTACTATTTAAGGTCAGTCTGCCATTTTCAAAACCGAGTTGCTCAAAACTGAACAATAAAAATGCACTTTTCAAAGAGATTTGGTTGAGGACTGTACTCAGCAAACTGTAAAAGGAATTAATCAAGGCAGTCAAGAGCAGAGATTTTTGAAGACTTAAACAGACTTACTTTTTCACTTTGGGGTATTTCATCTCTGAAATAGCATTGGTAGCATCCGTCTGTCTCTCCTTCAAATGCTGTGGCCACATATTATCCACCCAGTCGACTAAGTCCACCTGAAAGCCCACCAGAATCAACTGTTAGTTACTGAACATGTAGTAGGACATATTCCTGCTGGCTAAAACTCCTCCCATGACAGCAGCAGATGCTCACAGACAGGGAGAGCCTTGCTGTTAAGAAAAAATCCTGTGCACCCAGCTTGCTTCCTCACCACAACTCAGCCCTTTGCAACCCAGAGGAAGGAGAGTTTTGCAGTCAATTTACCTGGGTGCAAAAGCGGGCACCTGTGAGCACTTTCTCTCCTATTCTGTCTGTATTCAAATGCATTTTTGTAGCCAACAGCCTAGAAATTCCATTTATAAACATTAAAATGCAAATATAAAAGAGATTATAGTATCCCAATACCTTACATTTCAAGGAACATTAACACCATTGTTCTGGCCAAATTCTGGTTTGAGTAATTACATGATCTCCTGCTGTGAACTCCTTCATTGTTCTGCTAGGGTATAAAATTGACCAAAGTTTTTGTTCAAAAGCCAAACTTTTAGAGAGTGTGGGCAGGAGAAAACAGTGAAGCCGAGCAATTGGAAACATCCTGCAAGACGAGGAAGAGCTGGAAAGCAAAGGTAGCTCAGGGACATGGAAGCACAGCTGGGTGGGAGCACAGACAGCGATGTGTCCATCACAGCCACATCAAGGACAAGCCTGTGACTCATTCCTTGCTCTGTTTGTGATGGAGTCTGTGCTACATATCTGTAACACTCCCTTCTGGTTATGCAAGTGGGTCACATGTGCCAGGTTTCAAAACAGGGGAAAGCACCAGGCGCCTTGGGAAGCCCCTGGCAGGCTGCAGTGCTGTGCTCAGCCACAGCGTGGCTCAGGAACGCCTCGTGTGGGACTGAACCTCCAGTGGGGGGTCAGGGAGGACTCAACACCTGTCCTAGGCCTTGGTGACAGAGCTGTGTCCCGACTGTGTGCAGCAAGACCAGAGAGATCCAATTCAGCCGTGGTTAGCACCCCATTTGGCCTCCTGACTGCTAATTCTCTTTGAAGGCCTACCCAAAAATGTTATTTGTGTGAGTCAACTCAACTGTTCCAGTTCCCTGAGGATTTTCACAATAGGGCAATTAACACATGTCATTCCTGCACACTGGGGCTGAGCCCTTTCTCACCATCTGCACCAGGTACTGTTGGTAACACAAGGCACTTTGAGAAGAGGCATAAGATTATGAAGGAGAAACAGGTCCCATTCCGTGAATATCACAATTGTATGTCAAAACAAAACTGATGGTTACTGCCCTGATTCTGAAATAATTCCCACATCTGGATATTGCAACCCAGAGTTTACACAACAGGGAACCTGAATCAAGTATTTCTGCCTTAAGTGGGCTCAAAGAGCTCTGCAGAACTCAAGAGAACCACTTAGACAAATATAGCATTCAACTAGGAGCTGACTTTATGTGCTGGACTTCCCCAACACCCTCTCTTCTGCTCCCATGGGAATGCAAATCTGTTTTTCAGTGAGATCTAAAAATTCCTGGTTTTACAAATGATTGTGCACTTGGGCCATATTAAACAGCTAGGAAATGTGCATTTACATGTGATATCAGGTACCTAACTGCATTTTTCATTTCTAAGCACCCAGGAAATTTGCACAGATGTTTCAAAAGCTCACTGAGCACGATGAGTTTGGGAAAACCAGGATCAGCTGAACACCAGGAACTCCCCAGAGCATTTTCAAATTGCCCACTAAGTCTCTGAAGGACAGCAAAAATCTGAATAAACTTCTAAATATGTGTTTAATATTTGATCTGCGATCTGTGTGTAACAGAACACAAAAGTTAAGAATTACTTTGACAAATCAGCAGTTAGAGCTGCCATCTATTTTTGATCTGTTCAGGCAGAAGTGTGGTGTTTATATTGCCTGCATAGGCAAGAGATGTCCCCAGCAAAAAAGCTGCTGCTGTATCTAGAAAAGGACTTAAAAATCAGGAGGAAAGTGTCTGAAAATAAAACATCATAGAGCACCCAGGAGTGTTCTGCTTTGAGGGGTCCCTCTGTTCCCTGCTCAGCCAGGACTGATGCCCAGACTCTCTGCTGAGTGTCCTGGAAACCCCCAATGCCATTTCTTCCATCCCTGTGTGTTAATGAGTTGATGCTCTACCCCTCACCTACACATGGCTACATTTCAGTGATAAATTAAATCATCTTTACCAATAAGGGCCCAGTTTCACTGCCAGTGACTCTATTGGGAATAAAATCACAGGAGTCTTCTACCTTTAAAAAATATGGGCAAATCTACACCCTTACTTTACTGCCAGTTCTGACATAGCAGTGATTATGCTGATTTCATTATGTCTGGATTTCTACATTTTATACTTGTGTTTTCAACTTTTTCCCTTTAGAGCCCCCTGAACATTTCTCTAGTTAATAAGAGGGTTCATACATAATGAATTCAACCTTCCTGACAGTTTAAGCTTCCTTAGAGGAGGAAAAACAATAGATAGGTACTTAATTCTGGATGGAATTTCCCCTAAATACCTTGAGAGGAACTGTGTATCTGTGCAAATTGCATGATTAACAGCTCATCAGGTACCTAATTCCAGTAAATTAAGTTCCACTGTCAAGGAGCCCAGCTTTCTACTTGGCTGAAAATGAGCTCCTGACGCCAAAGGGACAGGAGTTCCAGGCGCTTCACATCAGCTTGGGGATGAAATAAACCACTCCATGGCTTATTTCTGGGAAGATGCTGAAAACAAACCCCCCCACAGAGCATCCCTTACCACGTTGGGGCGCTTGACAATGTTCTCCAGCTTCGTGTGACTGAACTCCAGGCTGATGACGTTGTAGAGCTTTTCCCGCTGGGCCTCTGGGGTTTCGTAGTATCTCACAAACTGAGACATGCTCATCTCAACCCCTCTCTGCGTGTTCACATCCATCACATCCACGATCCTGCGGCTTCCTGCAAACACAGAGGAGTCTCAAAACATCTGCCTGGGCTTTATTTTTATATATACATATATACACATATATATGTGTATATTATTTTATAGATATGTATAAATTTTCAATAAGTGCAGGGAAACTGGTAATAGAGCATGAGAGACCAGTATCAGCCCCTCCACGGGTCCTGAGCAAGCACATTGAGCAAGGAACTAACTTGGAACTGGACTTTTCACCCAATGTGACAATGAACAGGTCACCTGGTGTCTCTTTGCTTCACAGAGATGGAGAGAGCAGTTTCCTCCTTTACATGAATTGACATGAGCAGAAGTACATTAAAAATTATGAAGAAGTGATATAATGTGGTAGCGGGGGGCAGGCAAGACAAATAGCTCTCCAAATCATACTGCAATTTTCTAAATATCCATATGTCTCTCAAGATGCTTTTACTCATGTACCAAAATTATCTATAAAGAGCAAACTGCCTTGCATCACTGGATACTGTAAATTGCTGAACACCTTATACAGATTGCTGAATATTCCCAATTCCAGTCACCACCAGTGGAGATGAAAGCGCTAAATGCCACAGAGGAGTGAGCCCCCACTTTGGATGTCTCAACAGAAACTGCAGGACATACTTTCAGCTCCTCAAGTGGCAGACATACAAGTCTCATTAGCACCAGAATGTTGAACAGCAGTTTTAGTCGAGCCTTCAGTTTTACACAGATTAATCCACAATCTTCTCTTCGGCCAACTGGAAGGTTTCACCTCTCCCAGCAATTTCATCATCCTAATTAGCAGTTCATTTGCGTGTGAGTGGACGGGAGCCCATGAGAGACGTGTCTCATTTCCAGGAGAGAAGGACTCCAGCAAACAAATTTGCAACGTTTCCAAAAAATCACTCCAAAACCATTTTCAGCGCCGAAGAAATAACTCGAAATAAATTGCATTAAAACAAAATGGAGGCTGATATGCACCATCAGAGGGAATTATTAATAATTACAGCACCTGGCCTATCGTGGGCTTGGGAGCAGTATTTCAGCAAGAGTGATAGCCTGGATTGCCTGGCTCCTCTAAAAACATCCTTAGCCCCTGCTAGCAGTGACAGTGACAGATGTGATAATGGTTCTGCGAAGGAACTCAAGACCATAAAGCTCTGAAATCAAAAATAAAAATGTATAGAGTAAATCTGCAATGGTCCCTCCGGCCCATCAAACTCCTCACTCCAAGGCCAGAGAACAGGATCCCATCCTTAGGCTGGGCTCGGGACTGTACAGAGTGTTGCCACCTTGAGGCAGGATGGGGAGAGTTTAGTTATGTGTCAAAAAGCACAAGAATCCTTACATTTGGCATTTGCATGTTTGAAACAACACATGTAAAATCTAGTTTTGGGTTGGGTGGGTTTTTGTTTGGTCGGTTGGTTGATTTGCTTTGGTTTTGTTGTTTCTTTAAGGGTTAACTTTACTCTCCAGGGGAATGGTCTTTTTTCAACTCCACAGGTGAGCAACTGGGGTGAAGTCCTGTTAAACAGCCCCTGAATAAAAGCCATCCTGATCTCTGCTTCCAGAGCTGGGGATCAAAGAAATGGCTCCAGCCCGGAGGGGTTAAGGACACAGATACTGAAAAACTGAATTTGAAGGGCTGTGTGGCGGAGCCTGGGATCTGCCATATTACAGCCTAGGTTTGATCTCAGCTTTGCAGGAAGCGACCTTGTACAGCCTCTCAATTATCCTTTCCAAAGGAAAAATCAGCAGTTACCTGATGAATTAAGAGTATGAGGCCCAGTTCAACAGCAGGTTTGTTAAATGTGCACGATTATCAATTACAGGCACAAGAGCTTAAGATTTGAATTGATAGTCTCTTGACTTCCAAATTAAAGAGCAATTTGAGGGGATGTTTTTCTCTTAAGCCACAGTACTGTCAAACAAGCCCATACATAACGATTCCTGGAGTACTGCTCACAAAATTTGAGATGTATAATTACAGGTTCAGAGCCTGGTGTTCACTGCCCACTGCAGTGGTTCTGACTTCCTGCCAGCTTTATCTCTTTGGCCTGAAAAGATTCAGCTCTTTCTTCTATCCCCTATTCCTGGGACAAGGTTAGAAAATATCACCCAAAGCAAGGGAAAGAAGCACACAGAGGCTCCAAAAAGCGATGGCAGGCTGAGAGATCTGAGGTCAGGCTGGATTTCTGAACAGCTCTAACACACATTTTACCATTTCTGTTAACCAGTTCCTAGGTATCCTCTCAGCCTGCCCTATAAGAAGGGACCCCCCTCAGCCCTGGTGCAGCCCTCCAGGTCCCAGCAGGATCTCTGTGACCCTGGCAGCCTCTTGCCCTGGTACCAATCATATTCCTGACTTCAGCTGCACATGGATAACAGGCACATGTATCCCTAGCTGGCAAAGAGCACCTCCTACTGCTGACATGGGAAGCTTCAGTGCACCATGCATCACCTCACCCTTGGCCTTCCCTGGATGTTTTTCCAAAGTAACTCAGTGTGAGCTCCAATATAATTCTATAGTATGGGATTAAGAGGCAAGGCTTCCTCTCTGGCACAGGATGTGACTCAGAGGCAAAGTGGTGATGCTGGGGTTCACTGGAAGGGATTTTACAGCCTAAAGAAACATCTTCCTCTACTGCTGCTTGCTCATGGAGTACAAGATTCCCAAAGGATCACAAAGACAGTAACTAGGAAACAAGCTAGAGCCATCTTTGACAAGGGGAACAGACAACAGCAAGGAGGAGAGGGAAGAATCAGCTGCAGAGATGTAAGATGGAAAGTAAAAGCCACCAGGAAGAGCTACAGAAGAGCTGTGCTTCACTTAAAACCTTAAAAACATAGCAAGTTACTCCAGCTCATGTATCAGTAAAGTCCACATTAAAATTAAGGGAGGGAATAGCATATATAATATCTGTTCCCTTTATGTGGAGGCCTAGTGACCAAGATACTGTGAAGATCCTAATAGATTGGTTTGTACAACATTCCTATATGCTGCAATATCATTATTTTTTTACATAGAAATGAACACCTGGGGGAAAAACAACTTGTGCAGAGTCCCAGCCTCCCACTGCCCATCCTAGACAAGTTGGTTTGGCACAGAGATTTGCTCCTTTCTGTTCTGGGCTTCTTGGTAAAAGTACTTCAAGAACAACATTGAGGCAAACCTTGTCCCCTCATCAGAGACAGAACTCTGCTTCATGAATGCAGGTTACACAGGCATCAGCAAACACTTTCACAAATCACAGTTCCCTATCCCACCCCAGAAACTCCAGGAGTGATGGGCTCCAGCTCCCAAGTCATTCAGCAAAGCTTTCGTTGATCTCCCCTGCAGAGTTTGCATCCCCATTTTCCTTCACCTATCGAATATTGTAACAATTTGCCAGAGAGGGAACAGTGAATGGGAAATGCTGGGACATTCATCATCTCCTCGGGGGTACAACAGCTGCCATTTCCCGTTTCTAACAAGGTGAAGCACTGCCTTCCCCTGCCCTGACCTCAAACAGCTTCAGGTTATCCAAGCTGCCAGACTAGCCCATCTTTTCCCTGACGTGGATTTAGCATGGATATTAGGAGCAGTGGAAGCAAAGCAAACATGAACCACGCGGTGGAATATGAGGAATGCACAGAAGGTGTGAATCAGAGCTGCAAATGACACCAGTGTTTTCTAGGCTGTGGTCTCTTCTCCAGCACAGCACCGGCAGGAAAAGGTGCAACTCCCCCACGGCAGAGGAAAGAGGAAATGTCCTTTCTGTGAGAATGATTACCAAGCCTGTCCATTAAGAGGATAAAGCTGCCTTGGGGAATTATTTTAACCCTTTGTGACTGAACTGAGATCTGTGCTCAAGGTACAATATAGCATCACCAACCAGAAACCAACCCCAAATGCCAAGGGACTGCTCCTTTCTAATCTTTATGCTTCTTACTAGGAAAAAAAAAAATCCTTGGTTTATAAAGCAGGATTTTTGGCAGAGCCTCAGGAAATCTGCTTGCTTCACTACTGGGTTAATTGTACCTAAAGACTAAGGCTTTGACTTGCATCCCAGTTAATCCCCCTGGAGCTCCCAGAGACGGAAAGCATGCATTCTCCTGCTACCCACAGGAGACTATTATGATATCCCCTGCTAACAGGGAGGGATGTGAATCCAAGCAGAAAGTCCTTGCTCAAGTGGAGCTATTCCCGACATTCCCTGCATTTCAGAGCCAGGGTAAGAACAACTTAAGAGACACATCCCGATCCCATCGCTCCCAGTGCCACCAGAGGGCACAGAAGAACAAAGGGAAATGAGCCCAGCTCGGACATTGCACCCAGCTCTCCGCACACCTCACCCAGCACAGCCTGGTGCACCAGGAAACAAGGATCCCCGAGGAATCCACCCCTGCTTTGCAGTGCTCTGAGCCTTTCCTCCTATCCCCCTCGGCCAGGTCTTTCCAGCAGGAGCCTTCTCAGTGGGGTCACAGAATCTCCTCCTTATGGAGATGGAAAACTACCGGTACCTTCCCCTCCTTCGCCTCTGCAGCTTTATCATTTGGTATAAAGCTGCCAAATTACAATGACCCTTGTTAGGAGCCATTAATAAAAATGAAATAAATGTTTAAATGTTTAAAATGTTTAAATGTTAAAATGATTAAAACATTTTTGGTATCTTTGTATTCTACACTATCAAGACCATCTTTGCATACTAAAAATCCTACAGGAGTTAAATGATTTTGTTAAGTGACCTGTTAATCTGGCAATAGCTGAGTTCTTAGTTTTCCCAGACACAAGTACAAAGGAGTATTGATTGGATCAGTACAATCCATTCTCCTTTTACTTTTAGGGAGGTGCCTCTGGCAGCACCATACCCCACAAGGAAAGGCCAGTTTAGTTTTTTATGGCCTCATTGACACTGTACATTCAAGCCATACTTGCCTGTTTCTGCTCCACCAGCAACATCAAATGGTGGGAAGAAGAACTTGGCTGTGCCTGGGGTACCTGGCAAGGATGACAGAGCCCAGGCTGTGGCCCAGCCCAGCT